AAATGAGAATATATTGATTTGGTTGCCCATATGCGTTTCAATGAGGGTGTGCATATAAAGTTTTAAATAGGGTGTTTGCAGTGGATGTGGGAGCTAAATTAAAAAATCACATTTCTCTAGTTCGGAGTTAAATTGATGGAATAACTTCTCTCCTCTAAGGATAACCTCTTCCCCGTAGATGATATAATTAGAGAGGTACTGATGGGATTTAATGGGCTCACTCCATGTCTATTCTATTATTGGAACCATTCAACTTATGTTTATGTAAAAAATAAGATTGATTGGACACCAATATAGACGCATTAGTGAATCATATTAATTTTAAAAAACTCAACAATAAATATAATTTTGAAAATATACTTTTTATTTAAAAAAAAAAAGATAAATAGAGCTGCTCATGTGACTATTAATTTTTTACATAAATAATTTATTTAAATAACTGTACAAAATAAATGATGCGGATAAAAATAAATTTGTGATGGGTTGTACTGAGTCCAATAATACATCTCCACTAGGATCTCTAACAAGAGAGAAGTAGAACCATTAAATTGTATATGTACATATTTTATATGTAGAGGAATATATAGAAGTGTTAAAAGAGTTCAAGATCCTTCACAATAATACCCCATAAAAATTTTTTGAAGTTTGGAGGGCCATCCAAAATTTGAAAAGTCAGACAATATGGACCTCAAAAAAATAATAATTGCATAATTGCCTATTTGTCAAAATTAAACTTGAACTTTAAAAAAATCATACTAGTGCCTTTTTGAGTCTGAATAAAGTTGCTTAAAGAAAACAAAAAAAACAATAATAATGTATTCCATTTTTGGCAAGAAAAATATCAATTAAAACCCTAAAGTCTTTGATTTGGCTATGATTGCTTTATTGGCCTTTGGCTTAGATGAAGGGTGGAACTCTATCTATCTAGGGCTCTTGAACCTATGACTGACCAACAGGGCCGGGCAGACGATTAAGACCCTCAATTTTGAATAAAATTTAGAATCTCTAATTAGAAGAGTGTATTATATCGTATTATTTTATAATTATTTTAAAATTAGTTTAATTTATTTATTTTCATACTGTTGTATGGTATTATTTTGATTCGTGTTCGATTGATATTTTATGTGAAAACTTTTACTTTTAGTTAAAAATAATTTAGCAAGTGTATGAAGAGATTAAAATTTTTTCCATAAGTTGAATTTTATAAAATTTATTTCTACTAAATGAAATTATTCATAGAATGTTTGATTTTAATTCAATTGCATTTTTCTAATTAAAAAAATTGTACCTTATTATTATATATTTTTTATTAGATTGACTCTAAAATAGGTAACAAAAAAATACATATCTTAAATGAAAAAAAAATATTAGCCTTAATTATTATTTTGCATACTTTTTTATTCAGTTAGATGGAGTTAAATAAAATATTAAAAAAATGTCATTGCATCCCTTGGTGAACATTATAATATATAACTAATAATTCATATTATTGAATCGTGTCATACTTAGATTCATGTTGAAAAATAGTCAATCCTAACGTACTAATTTTATATATTGCTTGAGTTGTGTCGAAAATTTTCATCCTTACTCCCAATTAATTTTAGTTCTTATAGCATTGGTAAGCTAAAAAATAAATATTCGATTCAACTAATTGAAGTTCAACTATTATATATATATATATATATATATATATTTGTTATCTAAATTTGTTAAATTGTAATGCAATAGAAATAAATTTTTATCCTTTTTATTTTATCTAAACAATTTTTTTTTAAAAATAATAATACATGAAAGGTCCAATTTAAAAAATTTGTCTTAGACCCCTAATAACTCAGGGCGGCCCTGCTTACCAAACACTCCTCTCCCTCCTTCATTATGGCTTCATGCAATGCCTCTTTTTCTGCTTTTATTTTCCCATTTTTGAAATGTACTTTACTACCCTTTTCAATAGTTGGTCCAAATGATTTCTTATAAGGTTGAACCGTGTATACAAGATGAATATGAGGTGAAAGATTTTGTTTGGAGTTTTGCAAACCTTTTCTACAGGTGTAATTTCTTGTTTACTTCAACCCCATAGCTAGAATAATATTGGGTAAGTTGCATATCAATGGGACAGCCTAAAAGTAATTGCATTTTTATAGAGACTTGCACAAAAATAAAAATAAAAATAAAAACTTTTTTTTTAATGAAAATGTTTTTTTTTTTGTTCATTGTCTCACCAATATGCAATTTGCCCAATAATATGTCATTGGATAATCAATTTGTGACATATCATTGATATGTTATATAATTTTAATCAATCTATTTTGAGACAAGTTGTAATGTTCTTATCTCAAGTTGTAATGATATTGTTTAATTTGGACTATGCTCTTATAATTTTAAAATCTTTTGTTATTAAAAAGAAATGTAAACTCAATTATATAATTTAGAATTTCTTTTTTTACTAATCCACGTGGAAGGAAATGTTACATTACATGTGCTCATTGTGATTGTGTTCTCTAAATCTAAGGCCTTGTTTGGAAAGTTAGCTATTTTAGTAGGCTATTTTAATTTTATGATATTTTAGTAGGTTAAAATTTTTGTGTTTGGGAAGATGGTTGGATTTTTTTGTAGTTAGTTGAATGTGATGTTTGTAAGAGAAAAAGTGAAATGATTATGGGTTTAATGCGATATTTTGTCTTATTAACTATTTTAACATATTTTGTCTTTTTTATGAGTTTTAATTTAAAAAACCAAATTTTGGCTATTGCCAAACAAGGCCTAAGTTTCCAAGTCTTTTTATAAAAAAAGTGTGGCAGCGAAAATTCCTAACTTGCTGTGGCTGAAGTTGGATGGTGCATTGTTTTACCAACAAGTTTTCTTCCATTTTTTTTATTGCCTTCAAAAACACATGCTTTTCTAAGAAGCAAAATTGATTTCATAGTGGTTCTAAAAAATCGAATTTTACGTTAAAACTCACATAATATTTTGTTATTTTTTTATCAATCATTCATTAGTCATATAAAATATGTATATATGTAACTTTGATTATCTCCACACTTTCTGTGTTAATTCTTATTGTTGTAATTTTATTAAAAATGACAATGAAATTATATCAAACTTAAAAATTTTATTATAAATTTTTTTTAGATAGGGGATTTTATTATAATTTTTTCAAACACTTATCAGTATAACTTACCAACATGTTTCAATTACAAAGATGTATGGTCTCAAAAAATAAATAAATAAATAAATAAAAAGTAGAAGATCTAAAGATGTGTGAAAAGGATTAGAACTGGGGCCTTCTTGTCATTAAACCAAAAAAAAACAAACAGTTTCAGACGGCAGGTTCAAGTTCTAGCATGGTAAGGATTCCACTTGCCAAAATAATCTCTCTTTGGTGCAGTTTTCTGCCAGTTAGAAGTTGATAATTTAAAATGAGAAGACCATTTTCCTTACTTCTCAATAATTCGATTTTTTTTTTTTAATTATAAAAGTTATTTCTGTCTACTAAGGCCAAGTTTGGGAACTTGTAAAAAAGTCAAAAAGTCAAAAAGTTACTAAAAAAGTTAAAAAATTAACACTATTCACCAAAAGTCAACAATTACGGCTGCACAACTCCCAATTCGAATTTTTCCCTATAAATCAATTTTTACAATTTTTTATTACACATTTTGTCATAAAAAGTCAAAAAATTAACCCAAACATCCATATTTTCAACCTCAATTTTTTAGTCTAAAAAGACAAAAAATGTACTTATTTAGGACAATTGTTAGTTTCTGCATCAAAAACTCTTACAATTTTTTTTTTTGTTAAAAAAAAATCAAGTTTATAATTACACCAAACAGCGCGAATATAAGATTGGAAGTGCATCCAATTGGATTGCAACTGTAACCAAAGAACCCTCCTTTGTTTTAAAGCCTTAAACTAAGCTTTCTTTTTCTCCTTTCTTTTTACCTTCTATATTCTGAGGTGAAAAAGCAAGTAGTTCCCATCATTCTCCACTAGTTTGCCCTAACAAATTTTTCAACAGTTGGCACTTTCAATGCTTAACTAGAAGATTAAGCCTATCCAACTAGGCTTATTAGTGTAATTAAACAACTCTTCTTTTTGCAAATCCATACAAGCATTACTTTTTTAGATCTCTCTTTTTCTCCATTGATCACAATATAGATACTCTGCTAATTCTTTCATTAGTTGGTCCCATTAAATTCCATAAGCAAAGTTAGTTCCTGTAATAAGAACTCAAACTTTATCAACTACATGTGAATTGAAAAAAGACCAAACTACAGCTTCCAATAAGGCCTGTTCGGTCATGGCAAAAAGAGCCAATCAGGTAAGTGATCTAAGCACTTTTAGGACATCTCTCCCTTTGAACACTGGGCCAACCCAATGACACCATCCCTATCACTAGATAAAGAGAAAAAAAAGTGTTTTTGTCTGACTCGTGATGATGTGTAAGGTGTTTGAATCTTCAATTTATGAAATAATTCAATTTTTCTTCTTAAATTTAAGATTTTAATATAGTCTAAAAATTGAAAAAATCATATGAATTAAGAGTTCCTTTGAACATCTCTAACGCCAAATGCTACATCTGCTATCCATTGTTAAATTATTTTTTTGAGTATAAAAGTAGATATGCAGATAGGTTACTATACATATCCTTAAAGGAGCATTGCACTTTAACATCACACAATAATCTACGAGAGACCCTACAACACCTACGTCGGAGCATAATCTAAGATTTTACCATGTGCCCTGGACACTGAAGAGTAAATTTAATCCCACTAAGAATACCAATGCAAAAATTTGATAACTTCAATGGCAGCTTCTTTAAAGCACCCAACTGTTATAATATAGCTATGATGTTGGAGATCTACTTTTAGGTGTGAACTAGTTTGGGTTCATGGGGCCACATCTTGGAATTTTGGGTTCGCTTCAGACAAGTAATCAACCTTTCGGTGTTCACATTTTTTGGACAGTTGTGCCCCTCCAAACCTTACATATAAGTCATCCCACACTCCTCTGTTCTTACTCTACACAACCTCTCTTCTTCTCTGTACAAAACTCTGCACTACTATCACTCTTAATCAATTTCATTTCTGGGTGTCACAATACCACTCAAAATTTTCAATTTTTGACAACTTTTGAATGATTTTGTCTTCTGGGTATTACAAAAGATTCTAATTTTTGAAGTTCTAACTAGTTCTTTAGTAGTTCTTGCTCTGTGTTTTTTGCTATGCTCTATCACAATCTATATTTATATAGTTGATTTTGTTTTTGGGATCAAATTTCCAAAGTGGGGTTGGTGGGGAAGGCTTTTCATTTATAAATTTGAATTTTCAAGGAAGATGATACCGTTGCACAACGGGTGCATTTTATGGAAGTTGTTTGCAATTCTTGAGAAGAAATTCAGTGTTGAGAAAAGCTTTTATTTTTGGATCTTCCAAATTTCCATAGGTACAGTTTGGGGACTTAGAAATAGCTCTGAAATTTTCTAAGCTCTTCTCTCTTTCTTTTCTTTTCTTTTTGATCTTTTGCACTGGTTTTGGAGATTTTGGATAGTTAGGGGAGTGAGAAAATGGCCGGGGCATCATTGCCACCCGGGTTTCGTTTCCACCCAACTGATGAGGAATTAGTTGGGTATTACCTAAAGAGAAAAGTAGAGGGACAAGAAATCGAACTTGAAGTGATTCCCGTAATCGATTTGTACAAATTTGATCCATGGGAGTTGCCAGGTACTCAATGCCATCTCGTATTTAAATCTTTGGTTCTCAATGTGATTTGTTCATATGAAAACTATACAAAAGACATGGGAAGTAAATCTTAGAACTTTATAAGGAACAAGCTATACTGAGGCTTAATTTAATTACCTTTAAATTCTCATCTTGACGTGCCACGAATTAGGCGCAATTATTATGTTGAGAAGAGATCATCTTAGCCAAATGAGTACAATTTGTAATGTTCTTGATGGGTTTTATTTCATATGACATTATTGTAATTTGAAACCAATTTGCATAGTAGAGAATTTCTAGTGTTGGAAAGTGGCTGCTTTTCTGTTTTTATATGTTTAGCCGCAATCATGTGCTTTTTTTTTTTTGGTGGGCCATCTCACTTTTGTTTCTATCCAAAGCCACTTCTATCGAATTTCTGTTCTTTCAAATTGACATTGATGGAACAAAAAGCACAACTTCAACAGTGAAATTTCTCATTCTTTTCTGTTTTCCGTGCTTTGGCTTTCATTTTTGTTGGGAATTTTGATGATTCTCATATGGAAACCATGATTGCAGAGAAATCATTCCTTCCAAAGCGTGATATGGAATGGTTCTTCTTCTGTCCCCGGGATAGGAAGTATCCAAATGGATCACGCACCAATCGTGCCACGAGAGCCGGATACTGGAAAGCCACGGGTAAAGACCGCAAGGTAGTCTGTCAGTCTGGTGGGACTGGTTACAGGAAAACCTTAGTCTTCTACCGTGGACGAGCCCCAATGGGGGATCGAACAGACTGGGTAATGCATGAGTATCGCCTCTGCGATGATCTTTCTCAAGGATCACCAACTTTCCAGGTAAATTTCATAGCCCCATTTAATGGATTAAGACTTTTGAGGGACTAAAACAGCATGTGGTCACTGGCACTTGATTTTCAGGGAGGTTTTGCTTTGTGCCGTGTGGTTAAGAAGAATGAGCTGGCACAGAAGACAAATGATGGTTATGGAGAGCCAAAAGCAAAGCGGATTGGAAGTAGTTCAAGCATTGGGGATTTTACCTCGACAGGAATGTCAAGTGAGGCTGTGACCGTCTCTGAGGACACAACCTTTCAAATGAGTCACCTAGGCAATAGCAGTAATTTTTCGAGCCCGGTTACTTCTCCATATCAGACAACACCAATGGTGGAGAGTGAAGCATTTTCAATGGGGACTAATCCAAGTAGCCTCTGGGTATCACCTGACTTGATCCTTGATTCTTCTAAGGTACTGAAATTAGTTCTTTGGGTGTTTTAGGTTCTTGATGTGAAATTTCTCAAAACAATTTTCTTGATGAGAAATTTCTCAAATTTTTTTCTTAATTGCCTGATACAGGAATACCCACAAGGACAAGGTGTGTCTGCATACTATCCACAATGCGAGTTTCCAAATTCAACAACTCAATGGCAAACTTATAATCAATATGAAATCTCTCCCAGTTCATCGTACTCGAATTTTACAGAGGAAGTTGAACTTGGTGATGGTCTAAGTCAATTCTGTAGCATGTCACCTTACTCAGGACACACAAATTACATGGGTTTTTGTGGAAATGACGATGTGCAATATGAAGGTTATGATCACCAGACCAATTCACTGAGAAATCCAAAACACTTCTGAAAAACAACAAATGGGAGCCATTGTAGTTTCATTTTCTTTTTCTTTCTTTGACGCCGGATTTGAAACTTGGGATCAACCTGCAATTGCTAGGCCTAGCAGATATTGGAGTTTGGAAGAACTTCGTGGTCTATGGTCATTGTGATGTGAAGAATAGTCTGCCAAAAGTAGGGCTATGCTTCTGAGACAACGCCTTTTAATGTTGTTCGTGGAGTGGAAAACAATGAGTACTATCACTTGTAGTCGGTATGGATTTGCTGTTAGAGTCCCGGTTATGGTTGTTGTCGGTGTTGCTCTCTGGTTTATGTAACTACGTAGTGAAAAGGACGATCCCCCTGGTGATGATCACTTTTATAGATTGCACTGGGAGTTGGTTATATATGTTGTTCTTATAAAATAATGAAGCTTCTTTCATGGAAGCCACTTTTCTGTCAAAATTAATGTTGAATGTTAAATCTTCAAAACCCAAGTTCGATATGGAAGCATTTTATTTACTCCTAAAATGCCACAGAAAGCTTATATTGTGCAGGAAAATATTGAAACAGTGAAACCATAGCTGCACTTTCAATTGCATATCATAAAATTCTCGTGCAAACTGCAAACCTTCATGTACAACATGTTTTAAACCCATGCATGTCTAACTCAAAGCTTATATTGTGCAGGAAAATATTGAAACAGTGAAACCATAGCTGCACTTTCAATTGCATATCATAAAATTCTCGTGCAAACTGCAAACCTTCAACGTGTTTTAAACCCATGCAGGTCTAACTCAAAGCGGGCAGTATTAGACATGAACAATAAATTAAAAATATCAGAACAATTAGTGCTATATTGTCAGTCCCCCCCCCTCCCCCTTCTTTTCTTTTCTTTTCTTTTCATAATCTCTTCTTTTTTTTTTTCTTTCTTGGCTAGTCGGATTAAGAAGGTAAATGTGAAGCAGCTCATTGACAAAGACATGAAGAAGTGTCACCTTCAAGCATCCAAGAATGCACATTCCTCATGACCAAACTTTCCAAACTGATAAAACAAAAAAACAAAAAGAAACTACACTAATGCAACTTTAAATGGTGCTTTTAAAAGCTATAGAGCATAAAACCCTTTTGCTGCAACACCAACCGATATTCCCTGCAATACATTATTGTCCCGCCCACCTACTACTTCACCGCACCACCTACTCCTTGGCCATGGGGTATCGAATATTTGTGTAAGCAGTCCCTTTTCTTTCTCCGAGCGTGTGGATCAACATATAGTTAAGACAATCCCTTTAAATATTTATGTTTCTTTTTGGTCTGTCCTCTAAAGATTGTGCTCTATCCCCACTTGCTTCAATTGAAAACAATTCCAGGATTGTGACTGTTTCATTGTAATCAAATAGAAAAGAAAATGTCAAGAAAATTTGAAGTGTGGCAACAATCAATTCTCTTCTATTGGAAGGTTTTTACAACATGGTTACATAAATACCTGTTTGGACACCAATCTAGTATAGGCTTGCAATTTGAGGGCTGCAAAACACTTGCACCTCTTCAAGGGTAGCCCTGTTCTCATCACCAAACAATGACTCCTTCCCATCTGGCCTTTTAGCATAAGACAATCCTAATCTAGACTTAGCTTGCCTTAGATCACCAATACCTGAATTAGTATCTGGCCCTGCAAAACCACCCATGACTGGTGCCAGTGGTGGTCCAATGAGCAGCCCATCAGCCCCAAACTGTGGGCCACCGCGAGCATAGTCGAAAAGGGCTGCACCACTGCCCCCAACTTTGGGGAGAATAATGGGTTCTTTGTTCTCATTATCTTCTTCCCAATAGAAGAGAAATGGATCAAAAGTGTCATAGTAATCATCAGTACTTCTGTAGCCTTCTGGGTTGAATGCTCCAAACTTGAATGACTTGTTTGTGTAGCCAATTATAACACAGGGTCCCTTGAAGTCACAGCAGTTGTGGAAGGAGGTAGCACTAAATCCACCAATGGTGGCCTTGTAGCAGCATTTCAGTTCCCTACCTGCTCACATATCATTCATTCCAAAACTTAGGTTTCTTGAGGTTAACTTCAGATTCATTTCTTTTAAGAAATGCAAAGCTAAATTCCATTTTAGGGGTCTTGTTAACAACTACCCCCAAACCAGTTCAGATTTGAAATGCGAGACAATTTTTGTCAATTTGAAAACACATCTTACTGATTTCAAAACAAGCTTTTTCTCCTTTTTTTTTTTTTTTTTTTTTTTTTTTTTTTTTTATATAATTTACTTCCACTCCAATTTCAATGTTAAACAACATTCAAAGAGGACTCATTAGAAATTACCTCTTTTTAACATGCACCTGTAACAATTTTAAGGCCTTTTAAGTTTGGTAGGTTTCTATATCCCAATTCTCATTTCCCATCTCAAAACACATGTTGACCATACAATTCTCATATCTCAAGATTCTTATATAATTTAATGATTGTGCGTATTTTATCACATAATTCAAAGATCGTAAGTATTGTAGAAGGAGAAAACATGAACATTTGTGAACACAGGATTCTAGATTTACACTTATTTTGTCTTGATTTTCCAACAATACCCAGAAAAAATATCCTCTACATCAATAAACTACATTCATCTAGACCACACACCTGACTTTGAGGATAATTTTTGAGCAATAAATTCAGGGTAGATGGTGTTTTTTTGTGATTAGATTGGGAAGCATACAAAGTATTGAATGTGCATGTGATACGAGTGTGCGTGTGTGTGTGAGAGAGAGAGAGAGAGTACCCTTCAGGAAAGTTTTGGAAACAAGAGAAGGTGGGAAGGGAAGATGATCAACAGGATGGTAGTTGGGCAGTGGTCTGTCATCAGCTTTGCCTCTGCCAAAGTTCCAATCAAAGAAGCTCCTTGGGATTCTCTCCCATCTCCTCTGCCTCTGCGACACACAGTTTGAGTTTGAGACAACACTGAAACCCATCTTCAGTTACCCAACAACACTCTCTCATTCACAATCACAACTAACTACCCTAAAAAAAATCATTTTTTTTTAAAAATTAAAAAATAATAATAATAAAAATCCTTGTCCTTAGATCAAGTGATACCAACTGATTTCTCGACCTCAAACCTTGTCATTGATTTTGGGTCTAAATTAAAATACAAATTTAAATTACTTCGCATCATTGACATCAACAGGGTCCTTAGCTCAGTGGTAGAGCATTCGACTGCAGATCGAGAGGTCACCGGTTCGAACCCGGTAGGGCCCTTTATTGGTAATTTTTTTCCACTTTCTTTCTGCATTCAATCCCAAGGGTTTTTTTTTTTTTGGCTTAAAAAGCCTCCTTTTCCGTTTCTCTCTTTCTTTTCTTTTCTATGTCTTTTTCTTTTCGGGTTCACATTGAAGGGTCACCAAGTTAAATTTAGATTTTTTTTCAAATATTTACTTAAATCTATGATTTGAACATAAAATTTTCATTTGTTGGGTTGATGAAGTGCCATCGTGAATACTATAATGATAAAAACCGATTGCAAATATTGGAATCACAAGTTTTCGGTAAAACAAGTTTCGCATAGGAATTGACTTTTTTTTTGTAATTTTTTAATTTTTTTAGTTGAAGAAAAATGTTAATGTGTTTAAAAATGACTTTTTTTAATCATATGAAAAAACCTAAATGAGTAATGTGTAAATATGATTTGACTTTTTAAATAAATTTTTTTTTTATACTAATGTTTAACTATCATCAATTTTTAAAGTATTTTAGCTAAAAAGTTAAGTTGCTATGCAAGACATGAATTTTCAAGACTCTTATGGCAAGTTGGCATATAATTATATACAGTGAGAAAATGTCAGGAATTCGAATTGATGGAGCAGAAGCAATCCTTTAACCAGTACACTAACGTTACTAATAAACTAACAAATCTAACTACCTAAAATGTTGAAAGGAAAAAAATAAAATCTTAGAGATTAGAACTTAGAAGTGGTCAAAGTTGGTTGAATAATTAATACACTAGATATATAATTTTGACCAATAATACTATATCCAATATATATATATATATATATATTCAAAAAAATATATGAATCACGATTATTTTATATATAACTCACATCTCACTAATTTTAAATGTATAGCATATAATTTACTTTTGGAATACTTTTAAAGGAAAAAAAAACATGACAGATAACATTTTCCAATTTCAACAACGGGAAGATAATCCCACTTTAAAATAAATAAATAACTATAATTCTTAAGATTCATCTAATTTAGTTTATTTTTTATTTATTAATTTTTTAATTTTTTTAGTAGAAGAAAAATGTTAATGTGTTTAAAAATGACTTTTTTTTAATTATATGAAAAAACCTAAATGAGTAATGTGTATATATGATTTGACTATTTAAATAAAAAAAAATTTATACTAATGTTTAACTATCATCAATTTTTAAAGTATTTTAGCTAAAAAGTTAAGTCGCTAAGCAAGACATGAATTGTCAAGGCTTTTATGGCAGGTTAACATATAACTATATCTTAGGATACAGTGAGAAAATGTCAGGAATTCGAATTGATGGAGCAGAAGCAATCCTTTAACTAGTACACTAACTTTACTAATAAACTAACAAATCTAACTAACTACCTAAAATGTTGAAAGAAAAAAAATAAAATCTTAGAGATTAGAACTTAGAAGTGGTCAAAGTTGGTTGAATAATTAATACACTAGATATATAATTTTGACCAATAATAATATATCCAATTTATATATATATATATATATATTCAAAAAAATATATGAATCACGATTATTTTATATATAACTCACATCTCACTAATTTTAAATGTATACCATATAATTCACTTTTGGAATACTTTTGAAGGAAAAAAAAATCATGACAGATAACATTTTCCAATTTCAACAACGGGAAGATAATCCCAGTTTAAAATAAATAAATAACTATAATTCTTAAGAATCATCTAATTTAGTTTATTTTTATTTTTTTTAACTACATAAAGAAACCAGCCCCATAGCTGTCAATGCAAAAATTATACCTCTACACCTCACTCATCACGACTCATATCTTAATCTGCTCCATGGGAAGGCAAATGGTTCTCTAAATTCCCCATTTTAGGTCTCTCACACCTCACCTCTACAACCTCATCATCACCATCTTTAAACTCCTTAAACCTAGCTATCCTCCCCAACTCTTCAACTTCCTCAATGACAAGATCAAGCCTTGCCACTGTCTCCACAAGCAAAGAAGCAAAAGCAGCAAAAGGAAGTGCTTCTGAGAACTCAAGCCCAGTGATGGCAATCTTGCTCAATGTCGGTCTAAGCACTTTTCGCTCACTCTCCTTCGCCTGCTCAGAAGACCTCTTGCTTTTCCATTCCATCAAAGCTGATATGTCGGTTTTTGCGCTTGATAGTGAAGCCCCAGTGGCCTTTTGTTGGGCTGCTGTTGCGGCTGTTAGGGCTAGTATGTTGGTGCTGTCGGTGGCATGTTTGTTTTTGGGGCCAAGGAAGAGTCTTGGTTGAGATTTTAGGGCAGTGTTGAGGTCTTGTAGGGCTTGATGAAGATGATCAGAGAGTATTTCTGGTGAGCAATGGCGACGATTTCTTATGCTTTGTGCTAGTTCCATTAGGGCTTTTGATACTTCTACTGCAAGTCGAATGCATGGGTCTTTGAAGAGGACTCGAACAGTTCTTGGTGTCTGGCAAAAAAAAAAAAATTGAAATGATCAAAGCATAGTTTGGTTGTGGGGTTGCTTAAATAAAATGTATGAAATAATGAGATCAAAAGCAACTAAATATATTGCATGATAAGTAAATTCTTGTCTGGCTTCAAAATAAATTTAAAATGTCAATCAATATTTCATTTATCTAAGAAGGCTTTTGAATGGATGAATCAAAGAATTGTTGAAATGGCTAAGAGTATGTTGTATCAGATGAATGTTTCATTTTCCTGTTTTCCAAAGTAAAACCATATAAGGTTTGAAAAACCCATCAGTTTAATTTTTTGTAAGAAAATAGTTTTCAAAAATTCGAAAGCAACTTTTTAGTGTTTTCTAACAAGTAAGTGGGTGAGTTCTAATAAGTAAGTGGTTGAGTTGTTTTGAGATATTTTTTTTTTAACACAGTTTTCAGAAAAAAATTCATCAAACAAAAAGTAGAAACCAAAACTTTGGGAATATTACCTGAATCTCAGTTTGCAAACAACCATGGAGAGCTACAACTGTGTATCCAAAATGGCGAAGAGCACATCCTAATTTCACATATTGCTGCCATGGAAACCTGCAGTGTCTTGAGTGCCTTGGCTCCCAACTTGCATGTAATGCCTGCTCTCACCCCAAAATAAAAGATATATGATCAGTTTCTTTTAATTTAGCACCAAGAAACATACTAGAGCTATTCATGCTCTCTTAACCAGTCATTCAATTGATAGAACTAAACCAAAAAAAAAAAAAGAAGAAGAAGAAGAAGAAAAGAAATCCTTGCCAGAGTCTCATCAATAGATTTGGAGTCCAAAACTGCCTTATAACCCTTGTAAATAGGATCTTCTGATGATTCGTCTGTGGTTACTTCTTTCTCCTCTTCCCTAAAGTATTCATTAACACAAGCTGCAATTTTAATTTTACATCAAGTTTTAGTAAATATGTGCAGCTCTCTTTCTATATATATGGAACAACAAATTGCTTGGCTATTGTGCATGTAATGCCTGGATCATGAAATGTATCTATGTCATTACTCAGTTTTGAGGAAATTAATGGGGAGGCTGCGTTAGCACTTGGTGGAGGTACATTATTGAGAAACATTTCGTAACATGTACACGTGGTGTTCCTAACTAATGAGACCTAAACATAAGACAGGAGCTATCAGTGGCGGACACATGAGGCTAACTTCACAAAAACTTCATTATTTCCATGCAATTTCAAGTATTTATGCAAGTAATTAGTACTTAATTTGGCCGCTCCAAATCCTTGTAATTCTATTTCGGCTCTCACAAATTTGACAAAAACCTCATCAGTTCCATGCAATTTTGAATATTTAAAAAAAATAATGGCATTTTAGCTCCTTAAATTTATATAATTTTACTTGAAGTCCCTCCAAAATCTAAGTAATTTACCTTGGTTCTCCCTGTGCATAATTCTAAGTTTCCCATCTAGCCAATCAATGTAGGTCAGGTCAACTTCATTCATCACGTGGTCCTCCCTTTGCATAATTTCCAAGTCTCCCATCTAGCCAATCAATGTAGGTCATGTCGACTTCATTCATCACGTGACTATTGCTCCTATTTTTGTAAAGAAATTAAAGGTTCCAAAATGTTTTCCAAGTCAATCAATTCGAAGGCAAGTTCCTTTATCTTGCTAAATGAATCAATACTACTCACTAATCAAGTTTCTTTTTGTTTTTTTGCAAGATTGTAGTATTCGTGATTTACTAAATAAAGTTGCGCATACCTTCAAAGGATTTGGCTAATCCTTCAAGCTTGTTTACAGTGGAGTTATGGAGGTCCTCACCAGACCAATTGGGGAACACCAAGAGACTCATGAGAAGACAAATACCACAACCAATGGCGATGGTGTAAAAGCGGTCATGAGCCATCTTGAACACATTGTCGACTCGATAGCTTGAGACAGTGATCAGATTGAATGTCAAGAGAAATATCACAACTCCATAGTCAAAGTTCTTCTTTATGTAAGGAAAGAATCTCATGTATGTTGATGCAGTTCCTGTGTTAAAATCATACAAAGGTCAGCTAAAATTGAATTCAACACAAAAAATAAAATAAAACAAATGAGAAGAGAAAGTGCTGCTTTTTCTTCTTTCTTTTTTTCCCTAAACAATTGGTAGGAAGGGAATAAAAGAAAGGAAAGGAAGTAGCATTCATAACAATAAGACTGGAACTCAAGCATTGCTTGGTAAGTGAGTGTCTCATTGACCAAAATAGCATTTTTTACTCGGCAATTTTGTAATGCAAAAAAAATTTTGAAAGTTGACAAATAGTGTACTTTTAAACAGTAATGCTACATGCAAAAAAAAAAATACTACAAAAAATGTGCACAAAAAAATTGATGTGCAGTCAAGATTTATTTTGCTTGTGATCCACAGCACACGAATCTGAGCCACGCATTAATTTTTATAGGCAAGCATAGTACTATTGACTTGTCTAGAAGAAACACTCAAAATTTAAAATGGGTGATTAAATTCATCTTAGGTCACACCACATTAAATTTAATTTACGCCATTCATCCAATTTCTAAATCTTTTTCCTGTGTATATGGAAAATCTCAAACATTAAAGAATATTAACTGAATATAAAGGTCATGCCCCATGAAGAAATAAATGATTCTATTCTACTTTGGATGGTATTTGAATTCTGAACATAAAACTTGGCACTCTGATAATACATTGATACCAAAAAAGCACATTATGACCATTATTCCAATCTCAAAGTGATTATATCACCCCCCCAAAAAAATGGAAAAAATTTGTCTTGATGCATTATAAAAATGTTAAATGAATGAATATTTTTTTTCTCAAAGGGTTAATTTTCTGAAACTTACCAATGAAAAACACAGCAGCTCCAATGAATATAGCTCGAAATACTCGACCAGATTCTTTTGCAATATACTCTATCAGAAATACCAATGATCCTGCTAACAGTGTTCCAAGTCCTCTGTTCAATCCTTTGCATAGTGTTGCTCCTACCATACAAGAAACATCAACAATCAAATAAATCACCTTTCTTTACACCTTTCTGTTTGGGCCGAGAATATTTTCCTAGAACTTTTTTTATTTATTTATAAAAACACTCTTTTTAGAAAAGAAAATACAAATGCATAGTGATGGGTTTTTTAATTTCCAATAAGTGGATATAAATTATTCACATTATTATGTATGAAAATGTTGTGCCTTCTATGAAAAAATATTTTTTTGTGTTTGGTTACAGCTTTGAGAAAAATAGTGTTGATAGTTGCCGTACTGGTGGGGTGGTAGAGTGGTGGTGGTGAAAAGAAACATTTTCCTTTCAAAAAGTGAACGATATTTTCCATCAAAATTAACTTATTGTCCATGAGAAAGAAAAAGATATTTCCCTGAATTTCATTTCAAGTCGTATCAAATGTCACAAAATATGAATATATTGTCTGCCGAAACAAATAGAACAGAAATGAGTAGTGAAAAGAGTACAAAATATTTACCTGCAGTGAACTCAAGAACTACAACCACAGTCATGACAGCCCAAATAGCATTCTGTCCAATACCTTCAAACATTGGCTCAATCAGATACAACAATGAAACCAATGTCAATGCCAACCCTACTTTGAATGAGTGAATCACTCTCCTCGGATCTTCTCTACCCACTTTCCAGATCGTTTTCCATGTCGAACCTGGCAATCTTTTCATCTTCTCCTCAAAGATTTTCACACTTTTCTTCAAGTATTCAATCTTGCTACCTCCCTGGATTTCTCCTGTCACCACCTCGTCAATGCCGTTAGCAACGCCAGAAAACATTCCTCCACTGGAAACTAGGAAGTGCAACTCAATATATGATCAATGACTGTGTAGAGTATTTGTTATTGAGCTTCAGATATGAAGTCTTTTTAAAAAATGGTATTATTTTTGGTGAGTGGTGATGAGTTTTTGAGTATCATGTGCCACCCCCACCTCTCTCCCTGTGAAGAAGATGTTAGTTTATAAATATATATATATATATATATAGTGAGAGAGAGAGAGAGAGAGAGAGAGAGAGAGAGGAGTGATGTTACTTTCTCTCATGTTCACATGTTCTCCATTGAAGTGATGAAGATGTTTGGGTTTCACAAGGAAAAAAGAACAGAAAGGGAAACCCCAACTCAAGTGGAAATTTTTTTCTTTCTATTGAAAGTGACTACAGGTTTGGATCTGTTTGGCTGCTTGGAATTCAATACTTTCCCCAACCATGGACCAGATTTTTTTTTTATTTTTTAAAATTTTTGTATAGTCAAGATTTTTCATAAATGGGTGGTGTACAATTCTTCTTTTCCCAAGTATCTATTGTAAATGTGAAGAAGATTTATAAAGTTATGCTTCATATATAAATGTCCTTGTGTATATAAAGATATGTTTTCAAATAATGGTTAGAACATGCATTAGTGGTACCAATATGCTGTCCCATTATGGTATATGAAAGAAGATCTCATTAGGAATATAGGTATTTATTAGAGTACCACATAAATAATATCATCTGGTATTTCGAAAGTATTTACTCTCTTCGTCTCAAAATAATAGTTTATTTTGAGAAATTTAACTTATTTTGGTAGTGTAAATATTGCACTTTAAAAATATTAATTTTCCAAAATTATTCTTTGGTAGTACATTTTTTTGAAAATATCAATTGTCATAATTGTAGTTTTTATGTTGTTAATGAATTTAAAAGAAGAGCAAAATAAAAAATTCATATTATTTTAGTCCTTGATTTTTGAAAAGAAACTAATATTTTGAAACAATAAAAAAATGAAATAAAGAACTAATATTTTGAAACGGAAAGACTCTGCAGTGTGCTTGGTTTGAATTTTTTGGATTAGATTTTTTAAAAATTGAATTTTTTGGTTTTCGTGTTTTTTTTTTTTTTGTTTTTGGTGAATATTTTTAACATTTTAAACATTTTTTTTTACTTTTTTAGATGCACCTTACTTAGATGTATCTAAAAAATAAAAAATTTGTGAAAAAATATTTTTTTAAATTAATAAATACATAAAAATACAAAAAAATGCACTGAATTCTTGCTTGTTTTTTTTTTTGTTTGTTTTTTTGATATTTAGTGAATTTTTAAAAGATTTTTTTCACAAATTTTTTACTTTTTAGGTATATTTATGTTAGGTATGTCTAAAAATTAAAAAAAATTACTTTAAATATTAAAAAAATTAAGTAAAAACAAAAAAATACAGAAACAATAAAGTAGAATTTTCTAAAAAGTGTTTTTGAAAAACTCTAACCAAGCAAATGAATCACTTTTTAAAATACATTCATGTACATGAATTATTTGATGATGTTTTAGCTGAGAATAGGTACACCAAAGTCCAGCATGACCTAAAATCTAGCATGTTCATCATGACTTCAGTTCTTCTAACTCAAACTAGATCCAACGAAGTCAATCGGACATTGACATGTCAATTTGTATTTGGCTAAGTGCCTTTTAACGGCCAGTTTTGCATTCAAATTGCAGGTATCTAGGTGGGATTCAAGAATCACGGGGGGCAAAAGATCATGGCCTAAAATGTCAGTAACATGCTAGTAAAGGAAGAGAAAGCTTGTTGTTAACCTAACATTAATACTTACAACCAATTCAAGTTCACGTTGGAGTTGGAGTTGGAGTCGGTTAGTTGTTCTCACACTGGCTGGTTAAGTGCTCCCTCCCGTGTATTCTCAACTCCTCAGTATGAAGTCCACAATTCGCCACGTGGCACTTCTCCGATCTTGCCATGTGGCCTAGTTGGGTACTTGTCACTTTCAGTTGCTATGCATCTGTCTCTCTCAAAGTTCTTTTTCTTTTTTGAAAAATCATCCCTCAACCTCAATCATTCAGTCCCATACTAATAGACCAAAATGAACCTGGTAACACACACAAGGTTCATGTGCAGTTATTGATGTACAGAATGGTTCAAAAAGCAAGTGGTTATTAGGGTTCACAAATAAAAGATCTTAGAATTAAATGAAAAATGATTGACCACCACACCAAAACCGATTGGAGGTGGTGTTCGCTGTGATTAGTTTGTGCAGTAGTCAAACTAACTTCTCCATGAAAATTAAAATTAAAAAGAAAAAATAAAAGAGAAACTGCTGGGTATTTCAAGCTTCAGCAAAATGTAAAAGCAAGAAAAGTGTTGTTGAGCCAGCCACGGTTCTAACAACATCGTCTGAAAAGAACCCTTATGTTACATAACTGATATGACAGTTGCCCAACCTCGTTCTCTTAAAAAACAGAACCCAAAACAAAACAAACAACACAGGTCCTGTAACATGTTAATGATGAACAGTATAGTATAAATGTGATACGACTGAAGAAAATGGAACCCAGCAGAGTTTCAATGAATGTAGCAACAAAACAAAATGCCAACATACTGATTGTGGAACCAACCACCTGCATAGGCAATGATTGTTCAGTTGCAAAATCTGAGAATATGCAACATGCCTCGCAATAAAATTAGTACAAGACTTCCAACAATTATCAGCATCGACTGTTTCTCCATAAAACTCCACAGATATATATTAAAGCCAGACTGTTTCTTCATAAAACTCCACAGATATATATTAAAGCCAAAAGCCAGATATGAGAAAATGCTTTCCTCATTTTCTGCTTTTTGCATAGTCACAAGTAACAACCATTGCAATCATTTGGAGACAATAGCACAAGCCTCAGGCTTTGCTGCTTATTTACATACAATATATTAAGTTGACACCACAACAGAATGAAAAAATAAAATAAAATAAATACCAACAGCCAGGGTGTATCCACATATTTTTAGTCAACCTCAAAAGGGTTTTACTAAGCACACCACTTTTAAGCCCGGCAACATGACTACGAGCTTGCGCCAAACACACGGATTCTTTGTTCAATTGGCAACCGGCAAGATGGGCATGTAGCTTTTCCCTTCTTCGCATAATCCTCATTGCAATTGGCACACAGAACTTGATGGGCACATGGCAGAAAAACAACAGATACTTCATCTTTCATGCAAATTAAACATTCCCGATCACAAACCACTTCTTTATCTGAAGAATCCTCCAATTTATCCAACTCATCTAGTAACCTTGCAATAGTTTCTCCTTGGGGCTTTGCCCCTTCAGGGTTTGCCATTGATACATTATTAGATTGATGATGTAGCTCAGTGGATTCAACAGACGCTTTAAGCCGCAAAAGTTCTTGCTCCAGTCTTTGAAGATCATCTTTGTGACGCTGGAAGTCTATCTCTATCTTTAGGCGCAAGGCCTCGTGCTTTCTCTTATTACTAGCCTCAGTTGATTCCTTGAGGCACCGTTCCTCCTCCACTTGGGCTAAGGCTAGTTCTTTAGCTTTCTGCTCCTGCCTCCACTTTACCTGGTATGGGAATTGAATCATGTCAATTACTAACCAGGAGCTGGTAGGTTTGAATGAATACTAGTAGTATACCTTCTTCCCTAATTTGTATATGCATATGTCATTTACTTTTGTAATTTGTACATGCATGCTTCCCCTACCTTAACCTAACAACTATTTTAACAGGAATTCTATAAATTTGTTTGGATCACAAATTTCAGTAGTGCTCACCATCCCACAAAACTTAGGCCAGTTTCTAATGTTATCCATGCACAAGTGCACTTAATAGCAGTTATTAATTGCTCATTGTGTCGAGCAAGCATAGCAACCTCACACTTAAAGAAGTTTGCATTGGTCAATTAAGATTTCAAGGAACAAATGTGAAAAAGAATGTGGCTCCAAGCACTAGAACTTCCATGATTGGTTCCTACTTCCTACTAATATGCAGTGTGGGCAACAGAAATTCGTTCATTATTTTTTATAGCTGTACTGAGTTAGCACCTAGGCAGTGAAGTCAAGCACCACCTTGGTACCTAAATCAGGTGATTGCCAAAGCGACCAAGCTTGGTGATCATATGATGTATATAGTCCATCAACAACTTATTTATTTATTTATTTATTTATTATTATTATTTTAAAGAAACATAGATAAAATAGTTAGGGGCAACCTAAGGCTAGCACAAAGCATGTACCAGCCAGGCAACCGGCAACTGCTGCAAGAACTCCCCAGTTCCAGTTTCAGTTCGGTTAATTGAGGAGATAATGTTTACATCTATTGTGTAATAGATCCAAGAAACCCAATAGTTCATGCCCCAAAATAAAAATAAATGTAAGTTATGAATGCAAAATTCAAGCCTCATCTCTAACATAAGCTACAAATAAAAGTTCATGCTTTACAATTAGAAGGCAGAAAGGTCATTACTAGTGCTGGTGCGTCAACCAGGGCACCAGGAAGAGGGAAGTTGCTACAAAGATTCAAATGGCGTTCATGTCCTACTCTAATTAAATGGTCTGTTCCAGATGCAGGTAAACTAAAGCTTAATACTGATGGCTGTGCCAGAGGTGATCCTGGATATGCAGGTTTTACGTACAAGTCTCGAGGCAGAAATTGGCTATCACAGAGGTCTCACCGTAGCTTTTGAAAAGGGCTTAAATGAAGTTATTATTGAAAGAGACTCCCAGATGTCTGACAAAGTGATAAAGGAATGTCCTCCCGTGAACTTCCTCTAAGAAGCTTTGTTGAGGATACACAGTACCTTTTTCCAGAGATGTACATGCACAGTGCAACACATCTTGAGGGAAGGGATTCAATGTGCAGATAAGCTAGCCACAGTGGGAGCAGATCAGATGGAACCACTTATGGTGGTGGAGGATCCTCCAGATGTGATCAGGAGTCAGTTAATTGCTATGTTGGTGAGGATGGTGTATCTGAGGACTTAGGTTCTCAGTGAATTTGTCAGTCTTATTTTCTTTTGTTGTTTCTGTCTGTATTTGGTAGTACGAATAATAATAATCTAAACAGCCCACTTCTTTACACACACTCGGTACCAAAATTCCCTAAGCAACAAGCTCTGTTTCCCTGTGATTGTAAGCAACAGTGACCTATCAAAAGTCAACATGCAGAAATTGAGTTTTAAGAATGAACAAATACAACAGAATCAATAGCTGGTGTATGCAGATTATGAATAATAGATTGGTCACTGAATATAATTATAGCAACAAAAAAAAAAAAGGCAGAGAGAGATCATTGAAGTATACCATACTTGTATGAAACAAATGATGAACCTCCTGAGGTGTACCATACTTGTACCCAACACACACCATTCAAGCATCTCACAAACTCATTGTGTCATTGAATCACATTTTACCTCTTCCTCAGACACTGTTACATGTTTGTTAAACTCCATATCCAGAGGAAGAAGCAGCACATCCAAAGAAAACACAAATCAAGCAGTAGGGAGACTCTGAACAATGACACATTCAACCAAAAAGGTTCCCAATGTCTGAATAGCTTGGAACCATAAACATATTTAGAGAGATTGATAGAAAGATATTTACGCACCTCAGCCTCTTTTTGAGCTGCCTCAATCTGAATCAACTGTTGCTGCAAGTCTGAAATCTTCTGTTTCTCTGCTGCAATTTCCTCCTGCAACTTGGTTTTCTGCCTCTCCCAAGCCAAAAGCCTCTTCAGGCACTTTTTCTCCCGCTTTGCAACCTCCAAGCAAGTTGTAACCGATTCTGACGCACTTAACTTGGAAGCCTCCATCTCTGCTCTAATTTCTGCATTCTCAGTCTCAAGGCGCCTCACAGCAGCATTTGCATGATCCACTTGACCACTTGCCTTCCTTAGAGCATTTTCCATTTCCGAAAGGCGTTTCATAGTTGTATCCTCAAGTGTCTGCTTCCCCTTCTTCAATCGTTGGGTCTCCTCCCTTTCCATCCTTAACATCTTCAGCTCTGTAAGATCATTGCTGAGCTTCCTTGCAGCTTGCATTGCCTTCTGGTGAGCCCACTCCTTCCGCTCTTTCACCTGTCTCTCAATATCCTTAATCTGATGAATTAAGCTCAAAATCATCTCATCTTTCTGATCTTCTGGCACATACTCCATATTCTCATCAAGATTCAATTCACGAAATTTATTCAACACAAAATTAACCACATCTTGGTTCTTTGAATTCGGGAGCTCCTCGTTCTGCTCACTTGGAACCTCAACCCCTGAAACAGCAGCAGATGATGAATCTCCACTCGACAAAGAGCTAGCACAAGCCTGCGATTGCGTCTGCATTTGTTTTGAGTTTGCTCTAAAGCCTGCAGCAAACATTGCAACATTCCTCTTCAACAAAGACTTCATCGAAGGAGTAAGATTGAACCTCTTTGGACATTCAATCTCTTTATGCAAATTCATTTCCGATGCATGTGAGAAAAACCCATTTACAGGAAATTCAGAAGTACCACCATTTCCAAAACCCCAACCTCCATGAAACCTGCATAATGCCGGGGCAACCCCAACTGGATTGTTACTAACACTCTCTGCATTGCTAGGAGACGGACTGCTACACCCATTATTACTAGTCGGGGGAAGAACCGGAATTTCCATCACACTCGCTCGACCCACATGAAGATCACTCATCAGGAGACACCACATGGCATCACCTTTAGTCAAATGGGGCTTAACCTGTTGTAACAAACACACCATAGCTGCCAGAGAGTACTCCTCCAACTGTCTCAAATCAATGAAATTGGGTTCAGAATCCTCAGAATTCCCAGTATTACCACCACACCCACTATTCAAATAAGCTAAGGAATTGTGCAATATATTAGTCAACACATCCATTCCACCATAGCAATGTCCATTCCTCAATATAGCTTTAAGAGCAACATCCTCATCATAACCCAAAGCAACAAGCTTTGAAATAGCTTCATTATACAAAAACTCCAAGTTCTTCAACAGAATCTCCTCTAATTGCTCTTCAGTACAGTATCCCCAACCACTATCATCAAAATTGGGGTTAGGGTTAGGGTTAGGGTTAGGGTTTGAATTCTGGGACAATTCGTTAACACCCAGTTGGTAATTCAAAGGTCTGATACCGGATTCGATTACGGGTTTAGAGACTGACGTTCTATCCATGAGATTGGTCTGATCAATATCGGGTTTTACCGATCGAGCCCTCCTATTGGTTCGGATGTGTTTTTCTCTTACAGTACAACCCATTGAAATTTGAAAGAGTGAGAAAAATAATATATGAAGAACCCTCGACGAAGAAGATAATTGATTATGATGGTGGAGAAAGAGAGAGAGTGATATAGATATATGTTTTTACGAATTTATATATGAATATAGATTGCTATGTATATACAAATACAAGGAGATTGAGAGAAGTAACTCACATATTAGTCTCGAAGATCCGCGTCTGGTTATGGTCTCTGAGTAGCTCAGAGAGAGAGAGAGAGAGAGAGCCTGCGAGGGTCATGCATTGCCTTTTATATACTCCTACATTGCTCACGTGGGTTCATTTCGTTATTGGGCCAAACCCTGGGCTCTCCCATAGACATTAAAAAAATGGCAAAATTTGGTGGTATGAGGCTTGTAAGAATTTAACCATATAAGTCTAAAATTTTGGCTCAATTTCAAGTTTGCCCAATGGAATGGTGGCGGCGGATTTGACGGCTGGAGGCAAGCAAAATTGGTGAAGATGAGAAAGTAGAAAAGGGTTGGGAACAGGTGGAGGTACAATCGTTGAGGCGGGGAGATAGCAGATCAAGTGGCAGTGTGGTAGTGGCAACACTGGAGTGCAATGAAGGAGGAGGGAGAAAGTAAATCCAATGAAAATCATGGTTGGGGTAAGGTGGAAAGGAAGAGGAAAGGAGAAACAAGGAAAAATTCCACCTAAGGGAATAACAACTAACAAGAAAGGAGAAATTGGAAATACAAAGCTTCCAAGATTTATTTAACCAGAATCGCAGAGAAAACGGAATGATAAATATGAGGTAAAGAGGAGCGAGGAGGCCGGAGCCCCTCTCTCCCACCCAAGCGACGCTGAAGACGAAGAAAACCTAGAAGAAGAGTAGAGAGAGGGAGAAAGAGTATTAGATTGTAGAAAGAGAGAGGAAATGATTTTTTTTTTCTTTAATTGCCTTTATTTCATTGAATGAGTGAATTACTTATGTGATAGTATTAATTTAGAGATATAAACTAGATTGTGTGTTGTTTGTGTAGTATGTCATTTTGAGTAAATTAAGAAAGATTTTTTTAAGAGTTTCAATCTTTTTCCAACCAATATTGAGGGTGTTTCGTGGAGATTATTTTAAATTAAAAATTGATAATCAGAAAATATAAACTAAAAGCACCCCTCATCCAACTTCTGAAAAATCAATTTTTTTTCTAACTTATTTAAGTTATTTCTACCTGATAAGTTATAAACAGAAACTATACTAAATAGTCTAGAAAGTTGCTTCCATAATCCCCACCAAACATCTCAATTGTCGCGGCAAAAAAATAACAAGTCAAAGTTGTTCTCAAAAAAGTTGGTGTAGCTAAACCTAATGAATTAATTTGATTTTTTATCTTGAAAGAAGTCTCTAAAATGCACTAAAGCTTAAGTTATAGTTGTGTTACAAAATTTTCTCTAATAATGTGGCTAACAATTTTGAGATGTGGGGGAAGAGTTCGAAATGAGTTGATTGGTTGGTAGAGTAATACCATATTATTAGAAAAGTTTGAGGAGGAGAAATTGGAGAATAAAACATTTTTGTTCACATAAATGAAAAATTATGACAAACACTAACCAATTTAAGAGTCTAAAAATTTGTAAAAGTGTAGATCCTACATTTGGGTGAGATATTTGGTTATTTATTTGACAAAAAATTTAATATTTCTAACATTACTCTTATCAAAAAATTAGGCATCTACAAACTTCTAAAAATCAAGCAAAAATTTAAAAGCTTGGCCAAGTGGATTAAAATAATAGAAAATTACCAGTGAGTTGTATTTTTACAAAATTATAATGAAAAAAATTAAAGGTTTTAATTTGTAACTTTTGTAAAACTTATCACTAATTTATGATTTTTATTTTTAAAAAAATCACATTAAATGAATATTTCTCCTAATATCATTGTTTGGTCAAGCATAAGGCTGGCATTATTGGTGGATTTTTCGAACAGTGGTAGGAATATCCATTGGGATTTAATAAGAATGTAGAAAAAATGCCAAACAAAGTACCAAGTGGTAACCACCGGGGGTGGTAGCCCAGCGGTAAAGGCATTAACCTTCCCCAGTATAGAGTCAAATTCAACTCTTAGGAGACATAAAATGTTGAGTTTTCAATGGTTTCTACAAAGACCTCGTACTGTATTCTAATTGAAACTTGACCTTGTTAAGGGTGGTCGATGAGCTCAACTGATGTCTTGGTGGTAAATTCCTTCCTATGGGTTTAGTTAAATTAGGCCGGCAACTGCCTACCCCGGGACCTGAGCCCACAAATGCCGTGATAATACCTCCAAATATCATTTTTTTTTCATTCAAAAAATAAAAAATAAAAAAATACCAAATGGAGGTCCCTCTCTATGCAATGCTTTGCTATCATCTTGCAATGGGTTCTTTTGGCGTGTTCTCCACCTTGGAAGGGTCATTGGCCATTCTTTATGATGCATAAAACATATTTTCCTTTAATTTTGTACTTTGTTTCGAATTAATCCAATCAATTATCGGTTTCGCTTTGTCTACTAGAATTCACTAATTTGATAACAATTCTTTTAAATTCATCTTCAACTAAAATAGCATATATTCCAACAGATGATTATATTATGCATAGTATCTTCGAAGCAATTAAGGGTGTGTTTGTTTGGACGGACTGGATAAGGGAGATTAAAATCCACCGGACTGTTAGTCTTGGGATACATTATCCCCAGACTATTTGGTTGGACTGAATTTATATTCTATGTTTGTTTAGTAATGTGATTAAATGTCTGGATTAGGCTATTAAATCCTATGTTTGTTTGGGATATTATGAAAAATGATAAATGCTCAAATGACTAATTTATCCTTTTCAATTATATACTAAGTAATAGCAATGTTAAACATATCTTTAATATTTTAATTATTTTTAGTTAGATTAAATAAAATTTTATTTTATTTTATTTTTTGTAGAATTAAATAAATTTATTTTTAAAAAATTAAATAAAATATCAATAAAAATATATGTTATTTTTTAATTAAAATTTTAAATAAATTTATTTTAAAAAATAATAATAAATAAATAATGAAATAAAATAAAACATCGATTAAAATTTAAATAATGAGATTAAATAAAAAATAAACAAAATTTAAAAATAAAACTTCAATAAAATATCTATAAAAAATTAAATACATAAAACATCAATAAAAATTAAATAAAATTATTTTATTTTTAAATTGAGACATTTAAATTTTATTGAATTTTGGGAATTGTATATTTTATATAAAAATCAAATTGAAATATTTTATACAATCACACCTATTTAGGGCTGGTCGGGTGGTGGTGGTGGAGGGGTGGTGGTGGCGGGTGGTAGATGGCAGTGGTGGGTGGATGGCAGGTGGGTGAATGGTGGTGGCGAGTGGGTGGATGGTGGTGGCGAGGGGTAGATGGTGGTGGCAGGTCGGTGGTGGATGGTGGCGGGTGGTGGTGGCGGGTGGCGGATGGTGGTGGCAGGTGGGTGGTGAGTGGTGGTGGGGGGTGGGTGGTGGTAGCGGAAAACGGTGGTGGAAAATGGTGGCGGGTGGTGGCTAATGTTGGGTGGTAAAAAAAAAAAAACTGAAAAGGCGATGGGTGGTAATAGTGGGTGGGTGGGTAACGGTGGCGGGTGGTAGGTGGTAGCGAATGGGTGGTGGTGGTAGTGGTGACGGTTGGTGGGTGGTGGCGGCAGGTGGTGGTGGCGGCGGAAGACGGTGGTGGAAAATGGTGGTGGGTGGTGGCTAGTGTTGAGTGGTAAAAAAAAAAAAACTCAAAACTCAAAACAGAAACACATTTTTTGAGTTTACATTTTTTGGCCAAATTTATAAACTGAGACCACTGATTTATAAATCAAAAATTTACCAAATAAGTTTTTATTTGAGTTTTTAAAATTTTTGTAAATATAAACTGAAAACTGAAAACTGAAAACGTAAGTGTTACCAAACGGCACCTTAAATTTTATTAAATTTTACTAAATATAATGCATAATTAAATAGTAGAGGGTTAAAATGATCATTTCACCACCTAATTCCATATCCCTCTCATCTCCCCATTTGTGTCTCACCTCCTCCCATGGAACACAATAATCCAAACATATTTGAGACTAATAGTCCGGAGCAAAAATTTTGAACCAAACAACGAACTATTAATCCGGAAAGACTATTAATCTAATCTCATGACTCAATCTCTCAAAACAAACACCATCTAAAGCCACAAATTCAGTTTGAAAAGTACGTGTGTGCGTAGATATCAAGAATAATAGTAATACCATGTGACTGTTTATTTAAAAATGAGAAATTTCTCATTGTAATAACAAAAATCATATGATTGAACAGTAAGAAGATTAGAAAATAATATATTACTATCAATGTCACGTCAACATGTGTTTCCACTCCTGTACTAGAAGAGGCCCAATGTCAAGAATGAATCTTCACTACAGACCCAAATTATAGATGAGACCTACAACTTTTGAAAATCTCATTGCAATTTTAAATATTTATAAAAGAAATCAGTGTTTTGACTGCTAAAAATCTACATAATAATGCTTCAACCCTTTCAAAAGTCTAAATAATTTTATCTTGGCTCCCCTTTTTACAATTTCAGGGTCTGCCATTATATGTATCACTTAATGTATTTCACCGATTTTTTTCATCTCTAGTGTTGTGTAAGATCCACCATATCAAGAAAATAATGAATCCTGCATATATATACATAATATTTATTGTATTCAGATAGAATGTGAGAAAAAATCAGTGAAATTCATCCAATGACACTATTCAAATTTCACACAACCTGACTTGAGAAGTAGGTGAATAAACCAACAAATCATCATCATCACATTAATGTTGTGTTTGATTGGAGGATTTAGAAAGAGATTTAGAAAGGGAAATAGAAATGAAAAAGATAGGTGAAATGTGAATAAAATATACATAAATTTCACCTAATTTAATTTCACACACCTTTTATTTTTTCCTTTCCAAATCCCCCAACTAAACACACTATAAAGGACATAAATTTGGCAAAATGGACAAGGGGACCACCACCAGCAATGTTCCAAAAGTATATTTGCAAATCCAAATCTTGGACCCTCAGTGGGATGAAGTGTCTGCCAGTTGGGGTTACGCGGCCCAGTCTGAGTGGTCCATTCCGCTAGTGCCCCCAGGAAGGAAGGAAGGAGCGTGTGGCTTAAATGCAGCATTCACATGCATGCAATGAGGTACACTATATCCTATCTAATGACTACTCCTAAAACCAAAAACATATATATGAGAGAGAGAGAGAGAGAACAGAGTTTCCAACAAAGCTGATCTTGATATGCCACCAACAGCAACCGAAATCAACCACATCTATCCATACCAAAAAAAAAAACAACGCCCAATAAGTACACATTAATGTGTGTTTGGGAGGGGAAAGATTCAGTACACACCTAAGAAAAGAAAATGAGAGCTCCATTGCACCTTGAGAGATAAAAAAGACGAGGAAAATGGTAAAAATTCTCTTCTTCTTCTTTCTTTTTTATTTATTTTTTTAACAGTTAACACCTCCTTTTCTCCATATTTTGAAAAGTGCCATGTACCCAAAATAATTTTAATTTAAGGTGTTAAATTTGGCGTGATTAGGTCACATTTAGAAAGGAATTTGATCTGTACATTTCAAATTCTAAGCACTTTTCTAAGTATTTATTTTTCCATAGCATTGCTGCTATATTTTTGTCCAGTACTTTGAACCTCTCTCACTCTCTCTCTCTCTCTGATCTGCAACTTGCAAATGTCTGTGTTTGGCCCACTTCATTTTGTTCAACAGAATTCGTAGCTCACAGAAATGTCTACTTTCTTTTATATATGGTTTGCTATTTATATAATTTGTGACATTCTTTTTTCCATCTTTTATTTGCTTGGAATTCTAACTAGAATTTAGTAGTGTATCTTTCTTTGAAAATTATGGTTTTCTTTCAAGTCCTTGAACTGTCTTAGCTCATGCATTCCTAGTTTTCTTTTTCTTTTCCCAGAAAATGGTAATGACAGACGAGAAAGTTCTGTTTCATGTGTATGAAGAAGAGAAATTTTAAGATCTTGGAAGAGAAAGTGAGAACCTTTGAGAGAGTCATAATGCCAGCACCTCTTGCTCCATATCCAACCCCTACAGCAACATTCACACCTCCTGCAAATGGTAAACTACTCAATTCTACACTTATTTTAGCCTGAAAACAACATAGAATTAAGAACAGAAGCATTCAAAGAACCAAAACAATAATACTTACAGTTCAAGAAACAATTATGAGAGAAGTTAACAAATCCAATATCAATCTCTTGTGCAAAAGTTTAGAATTGAAGATTACAAGATTTGGGTATGCAAAAAAATATCAATTATCAAGGAATGAAATGGTTCATATAGTTTGCAATATTGTTTTGTTCAATGTCTAACCTGGGTAGTAGTCTCATCAGCCAATAACTCATCAAGAAATCTGTAAATTTGCACCAATACAGAGTCGCCCTGTTTTATGAATCACTTTTTATCATCAACCGGCTGCTTACATTTTGATCATCAGGTGCACAAAGCCAGCTCGTGTGTTCCGGATGTCAAAACCTTTTGCTCTATCCAGTTGGAGCAACCTCTATATGTTGTGCTGTTTGCAATGCTGTCACAGCTGTGCCACCTCCTGGTATGCTTCTTCCCTTTTTTTAGCTTGTCTAGCCCTAAAACATTGTAAAGAATCAATTTTGTTTCATAAAATACAATACAAACATGGAAATTTCCAGAAAAGTGCACAGAATGTAGCACTTGCAGCACTGCATTCATTCGGTTTCTTTTTTAAGGATAAGTAGGGTTAATAGTATACAGCTTAGCAAACTTATGTTATTGATTGGACTGTGGAAAGGCACGGAAATGGCTCAGTTGGTTTGTGGAGGCTGTCACACCTTACTCATGTACATTCGAGGAGCGACAAGCGTTCAGTGTTCTTGTTGTCATACCATCAATTTAGCCATGGAAGGTATAGAACCAATAATGGTATATATATATATATATATGAATAAATTCATAAGATCTATGTTTTTTCTGTTGTGTGGGTTTTAGTGACACATCAAATGTATATGGTGACAGCAAATCAGGTGGCACATGTCAACTGTGGGAACTGCCGGATGCTGCTAATGTACCAATACGGAGCACGGTCAGTGAAATGTGCAGTTTGCAATTTTGTGACATCAGTTGGGGTTAGTCTCTCTGTCTCTGTCTCTCTCTCTCTCTGTGTATATTAGATTGATCAAAATACTCATCTTCAGATATAAACATTTATTGAACCACAAGATTCAAGTTTATGATCACCCTAATAGGCATGTCTATGGAGGAGACACATCCTGCTATATGATATTATGATCACCCCCTCTAGCAGCAACACTTAGCTTCCGAAGCATTTTCCTCTGCAACGATCCATATCCATCTATCTACACTCTCACCTAGTTCCTCAATTTCAGCCTTACTTTCTAAATTCTAATTTTTGCTGAAAAAGTTTTTCTATTAACAAAAAAACTGAAGAACGAAAAAAAAAAAATCTGAGTTCTGTGGATCACTAGAAGAAATTAGACAATTTTATTGTTTTAGGATCTGAGTTCCTTTTAAGTACCAGTAGGCATGATATCACTACAATGGTGTAGAAAATTGAAGAAACCAAACTCAATTAGAGACTAAAAATTTCCCCATTTTTGTGTTTATATCTCATCAAAAATGTATTTCATTGGACGATGCAGCAGCAGGCAGCAGCAAGCACTACTGAGCAAAAATTCAACACCTAAATTCGTGAGACAGTTGAGTCGGTTACTACAAACACTTCTACAATATCGGTTTCTCATCTTCCAGTGTCCCTAGTACTTGCCATCTCTGAACAAGCACAACATTTCTCTAGCTACTTGTATAGACTATTATGAATAAGAAATGTTGGCAAGTCAGATGTATGAGAAAGTATTGTGCAATAAAGACTTTGAGGTTACGTGTGCATTTGAATGTTCTTGGATACGAAAAAACTTCATTTCCCTTTACTTTTAGATTACACATATCAGTGTGTAGAGTTGTTTCAGTATAAATCTTTGACCACCGAAGAGATAAGGAAAGGGTCAGTGTTGGGGAATGACTATGGTTTCAAGATGGTACTAATGGTTAACTAATAATATCACAATGCGTGGCAAGTGTTATCATGTATTAAGTGATAACTAGAGCTTGACTGAGCAATAAGTCAATTGTGGCAAATGATATCACATTCAGTAGTAAGTAGAGAATGATAAGTTGGTTGTAAGAAGTTACGACTAAATGTAATCCAACTTACTATCTCGGTTTTGGAGGCTTTTTTATGCTTTAGCAATCAACGTCCAGATCTTCTCCACTGCTCAATCAAATGGCCATGGTACATTTTGGTACCTGTACTGAAAACCACCAGGACGGTATCATAAAAAAATCCAGTTTTGACGAGTTTGATGCATCAGAAGTATTGTACAAGAAAGACCTTTAAGGTTATGAGTGAATTTAAGCGTTTTTGGATAATGAAAGCTTCATTTTCCTCTGCTCTTGGATATGTATATCAGTTGCATAGAGTACACGGCAAGAAATTATTTCAGTACCAGAATGTCATTTAATTGTCAAAGGATTGCTTCCACCCATATAAGAAGACAATGGTTCAAATTTAATAATCCAATAAAAGTCTCAAAGGACCAAAGAGATAAAGTAAGAGTAAGTGTTGAGGCGAGAATTGTATGAAAGAAGACCAACAGAAAAGTTGATGTATGGAATTGACATGAACTCTAACCAAAAAAATAAGAGAAAAAATATTTGTCATGTATTAAAATTTCTTGAAGTTTCTCAGAAAGATATCTGTTAGACAATAGAACCAATTAAATCAGAGTACTAAAAAAATGTATATTCATTTTTGAGTCACTTAATCCAATTTCCTAAACACTAATATTACATAGGCAAAATTTCCCCAAAACTGCATTCTTTGCACTTCTCACTTCATCCAATTTCCTAAACACTACTTTGCTTGGTTCCCATTTTTTAAAAACAGTTTTCAGAAAATTCTACACTCTTATTTTCCGTGTTTTTTTGTTTTTACTGAATTTTTTTAATATTTTATGCAAATTTTTTACTTTTTAGACACACCTAACAAAAATATACCTAAAAAGTAAAAAAATTGTAAAAAAAATCTTTTAAAAATTCACTAAATACCAAAAATACAAAAAAAAAATACAAGAATTTAGTACATTTTTTATATTTTTATGTATTTATTAATTTATGAAAATATTTTTTTCACAAATTTTTTACTTTTTAGATACATCTAAGTAAGGTGCATCTAAAAAAGTAAAAAAAATGTTTAAAATTTTAAAAATATTCACTAAAAACAAAAAAATACGAAAATCAAAAAACTCAATTTTCAAAAATTTTAATCCACAAAACTCAAACCAAACACAGTCATTTCTCTTAAAATCTTTTATCTTTGTATTGTTTTCCCTTCCACGAAAAAAAATATTGGTCGCAGTCTTTGAAGGCAGCAGAGAGGCCAAAGAATTTTACCTCCCAACGAGGTGAGGTCTAAATAAAGATGAGGTATCATGATATAAAAATGAAAGTAGTAAATAATTACATAAAAGATTCTCTTTCAACTATTCAACTTGTCACCAATTTGTATTAACTTGAAATTCTCATAAATAATTTCATAATTCTATCCTGGCAAGTCTTCTTTTGTCACTTGTCCATCTCTCATTCAAAATATATATATATATATATATATGTATTTTGATCGATCACCAAAACCTATACTTGCTTAGTGCAATCTTACAAAGTTTACCCTTCAAGTGAGATAAGTAGTTTGTTGAGTACAATATTGTAGACGTCCCCAAACGTCCCGGGAGGATGAGTCCCGTTCTATTCATATTAGGTTCACTACAGTTCAGGACTCTCAAATTTGTCATGGTTCTTAATCTGAACCAAAGAGTCCAAATCCGGCAAATTATTTTGTGAAAAACAGATTTTTAAAAAAGAAGTGCCAAACATAGACTGCTTTGCTAGACACAGAGTCGCCACCTAAATATTTTATTTTGAGAAATTTAGGAAACCCTGACTCGGTGCCGAAGGCCACGTGTCCGTCATCACCAAAGTTGCCTCGGCTCGGGAACTTGGGTACGATTGGGGAAGGTTAGCTATGAGCACCCCCTCTCGCCCGATCTGAAGATCAGCCTCTACTAACCATGATATCTTGTTTTGAAAACATTATGCATTCTTATTCCGATTATTAGCCTAGAATTACTATGTTATGCACACAGCAAACAAGTATAGACTAAGGCTCCGTTTGGTGTAGCTGTTAAAACAGCTTATAGATTATAACTTAACAGATTATAGATTATGACTTTAATCAGAAGTTGTTAATCTGTTTGGTATAACTATTAGATTATAGATTTAATTTGCTGAGTAGTGTTTGTTAAATAAGCTGTGAAATAACTTTTTCAATTAATTTTTATTTTTTGTTTGTCTACATTTCTCATAAAAAATAATAATAATAATCTATAGTCCATTTGAGTCTTTTTCTATTTTTAAAAAAATAAAAAATAAAAAAATTTAAGAGTATAACCATAAATTAACATGTCCACAGCAAAAGCTGATAATCAGAAGCAAGAGGTAGGCAGCTTCTCAGAATCAGCTTTTTTGAGTTAAAATAAGCTGTTAGAATCAGAAGCTGTTTGAAATAAGTTTAACCAAACAGTCTAAAATAACTTTTTCAAAGCTAAAAGCCATAAGTTGGCTCTGAAAAGCTAAAACAAACACCCCCTAAGTCGCCTAAATTGGAACAAAATATTTCATGTTTGTTTATTTGAGAATGATTTGATGGTGCTACCTGTGAGTAGGCTAAGATGCAGGTTTTGCCACCCTCAAGTGGGCTTTAGAAAAGATGGTTTTGCCACTCTCAAGTGGGCTTAAAACTCACAGTTTTAATGCATTATTCCAATTTAAGTAACCCAACCTTCACCCACAGGCATTCAGGCAGTTATAACACGTAAGCACGTAGCCTCATAGTAAGCATGCTGTCATGGCAAACACTCACACTCATGCAAGATGCTAAAGCATAAAAGCTTACCTAGTACTCCGAGCCAAAACAAAAGCTAGTTAGTAATCAATGCATGATCCTAGCTCATGTTAAGATGGCTAATGTAACGCATACAAGATGCAACTACAATAGGCTCGGCTATTCTAAGATGGCATGTGACGATGCTACAAACTTTGGAATTGAAATACAATGCAGTTAGTATGATGCGACGAGCCCGGTGCATGCAAGACAAATGTATAGATGCGCGCATGCATAGCATAAAGTATGCTAATTTAAATATAACCTAATACTAACCATCAAAAGCAGGTAAGTAAAAAGGAGAAAGAAGTGGGGGTTAGAAGACATGCACACACGCACCCACACTTATTACAAATACGCCCTCACTCGGAGGGACCGAAAGAATAATACAACTAATTAACCTACAAGCTAATTAAAATGTTACAGACCAATTAAACAAATTAAACTAGTTAAGCAAATTAACTAATCTAAGAAAGTAGTAAACAGCCTCGGGAAGAGGGCCAATGCAATGTGTGTTCGACTCCGCTCGGAAACTCGCTGCCATAGCACTGTTGCCTCTGTTTACACTGCCATGCTCCTCTGAAGACTGTGAAAGTCCCCAGAACTGCTCCTAGAGTGTTGTGGAATGTTACCGGCCAAAAGAATATGCTACCGGCCATGGAAATACTCTCATCGGCTAAATATTGTTCTCTCGGCCAAACATTCTTTGCTGGTCGGCACTCAACACTGCCGGCCGGTCAAATCTTCCTACTGAAACCCTTGAAGAACTCTTGAAGAACAGTAAGCTCAGGCCCCTTTTTGTGATCAAAATCAGCTCAAAACTTTAAGAACAATCATACAATGAACTCCAGGGAGCATGGGTCTCGATTCTCGGACCACTAATCGCGCATTTCAATGCGTGATGGCCCAAGAAACCAAGTATGCGTTTTGATATGGAATGTAATGTACATAATCAAACAAAGGGGCTCTACCTCTATCATACTTAACTCAAGAGGTGAAGCATGCATGCAAATGGAATGCAACCTAGATATGGAGGCTAAAGATGCAAAATGAGCATGCAAGGCATGTGACAACAATGCTAGTGGCAAACATGTAAGGACATGTAGGGTGGACTAAGCATAGGAACAATGCAAAACAACTTAACCAATGAAATACATGCCAAATGCATCATGATTTCAAGCAAGCAATAACATGTAATAGGCCAAGTATGCAACAATGCACAAGGCAAGCATGCTATAACACATGAATGATGGACTTAAACTAATTTAGGCAGCCCTCAAACAAGCCTAAAACAGTGGCCATAAACTATGGAGATGGGGCCAAATGCACATACAAGCATGCATGCATACATGATCCAATTCCTAAGCATCAAAAGGCAACTTTTAAGCACACGCAAAAGAGATGATCATGGACATATGGCAAACATACCAAACTCTGAAATTGCATAAAATGGAATTGCCAAACCAACCAATTAAAGCAAGCAAAGCATGCTCATGACATCACACATTCAAGGCCTACAAGCTAGAATGCAAAGAGACTATACAAAATATGTTAAGCATGACCAAAGCAACTGAAAACAGAGCTAAAGCACACTAAAACATACACAAAAGCTTCACAAAGCTTGGCCAAAACCATACTAAAACAAGGGTCAATACTTAAAGCATGTTAAGGCCAAAACATGGCATTACAAGGCATGTATGCTAAACAAGCATGGTGTACCTAAACCAACTAAAAACAGAGCTATATTATGACATAATAAGCACAAAAATCAGTTAAGGCATGATCAACATGGACCTAAACTAGATGCTCCCTCAAGAGGCTAAAATGGCCCTTTTCAAGGACAACAAGGAGAGGGGATGGTCCTCTCCTTCTTAGGACCTCAAGGCACCATCCTCACCACTGAAATCCCTCAAGATTTCAGTGGTGAGGAGGCCCAAACACAATGGTCCCGGAGCTCACCAAAAATGCACAAAAATGGAGCCTAACAAGGCTTAAGAGGGGTCAAACAACCTCAAAACTCAAAACACTCTTAAACAACTATTTAGAGTAGACAAAAACAAGACTTTTATATGTTATACACCAAGTCTAAAAACAGTTGCAAGGTAGTCAAAAAAAACTATGCAAAAATGGGGTAAAAAAAGGCAAGAATGTTACCCTTGAAGACCCTCTTCACAAATGGTGAACCAGCTGCTTCTTTGGCTCAAACCAGCTCCAAAACTTCAAGAACAGCCTCTTAGTACCTCAGTAGCTAAAGGAAGGTGTAATGGTGGGTGTTTGTGCACAAAAGTAAGACAAAACACACACAAAACACAAGAGAGAGCGAGGTATAAATATAGGATAGATACACAATTCAAACCCTAAAACCAAAGCCCTCTGAAAAATGTTGTCTAACCTAAAAGAGGGAGAAGATGCCTCCTCTTATAGAAGATTCAACCTTGTAAAGCTTCCAAGGCAAGCTAACAAGGTTGAAATCCCTCCATACACGTGTATGGAGGGGAGCAAAGGTGGGTACCAGCTATCACAGTTGGCACAAAAATATCTGCAAAAGCAGGTGAACAGTGGTCGGCCGGCAAAAAATGCAATTTGACCAAAATAGATGATCGGCCGGCCACAAAAAGTGCCGGCCGGCCAAACATTTGGCCGGTGGCAACAAAACAATGGCCGGTGGCCCCAAGCCATGGCCGGTGATGTGTGGGGATGGCCAATAAGCCATTCTCTGCCCCCTTCAAGGCAAAACACAAGTGTTTGGTGCAAAACCAAACACAAAACAGTCGAGTTGAGAGATCTTGAGGCAAGGCGCGTAGCTAAGACCTCCGGGAACTCAAGACGAACACAAATAAGGATGATCACCGAGTGTTCAAACGGTGACGCTTAAGTCTTGAGGACGGTCAAAAATGAGGTATCTACAAATACCCTTCAACAGAAAGGGGTTTTTTGGTAATACAAAGGTTCATGTCAATCACACAAATAAAGTGACAAAAAGGGTAGCTCCCAAGAGCCCCTTGACAATCAATCTTAACTGTCCCAATTTCAATCCCTTGCCATTTGCATCCACACAGTAAAATTTGAAGGACCTATTAACAGTTCTAACTTAATTCATCTCTTATCTTGAGTAATCATCTAGAAGTATGCAGCTGGCAAACAATGTAAGCCATGAAACCTCTTCCCAGCTGCATCTTAATTATCAAGCAGAAGAGTAACTTTTTGATTCCTTCAAATTTGGTAGTCTGATTGTGGATAACAATTGCCTGAAACACAGGTAGAAAGCCAATTTCAAAAGTTAATTCTCTATTCATCTTATCACCAAGAAGACATGGAAAGCACAAATACGGAATTGCGACCATCTACTATAAATCTTATCTGCTGGGCAAGTTTGTCGTATAGCAAATGTACAACAATGCCAGAGCACCTTTCAGAGAGAGAAATTACACCAAAAATAAAATCAACCAAAGATATGATTTCGTATCAAATGGAACTTTTTCTATATCATGCAGGTCCATCTAGATGCTTAATCATGCTAGATTTTCCCTCTACATGGGTGATGATTATGTTTTGAGTTCCACCCCTAATGACAAACATACGTACAATTCAGAAACCAACAAAGCAAAAATGCAATTTATCAAGCATCTCATGTAATTTAAGAGCCACAATGGATGTGAGAATTTATCCAATTTACTACCTAAAAAGGACACTTTCTGTTTTACTTTACCCTTAAAGAAACAAGGCCTAGAAGTCCGTTCTATCCATCTTAGCCCCACAAGCACAAATATTGAAACCCTGCCACCAACAAATTGTAATCTCATCCGCATTAAAGTGGTCCACATTTACCGTCAAGAGAGTAAAAAATTCAACAACATGGATTAGACATACCAAACAAACAAAATATGGTAATCTAAATATCATCTTCAGAATATTAATGGATCTCCTGTCACCTGGAAGGGCTTTAAGGATTGTGGAGATGTTCCAACAAAACAAAGCCATTCTGGGTATCTTCACATTTCTTTTTTTATTCAAAAAATTGAGGCCCCAACTTGGTTTTTGATGCAGGGAAGATCTTCCATAATCAGTTAAAATGGTTCATCTGGTAACTCAGAGAAACAAGAAAACACACCCACCATACCAAACCTCAAATGGCCATAAGATATAAACCTCCATTCTTTCCTTCCTCTGCCTCAACAACCATATCCAAAGACACAGTTTAAGAAGTGTCCCATCAAATGACCTTCATGTTTAAAGTTTGAACAGTATCTAGGTGACATTTAAAACTGTCTAATCTAGTTAATTTTCTTTTCTTCTTTCTTTCTCAAAAATTGTTTAATCTTGTTAGTATTGGCGGTCTAGCAAAAAACTAAATACCCATAGGTAGACTCAAATCTTCATGAAAAAAAAAATAAAAAAAATCAACAAACGAAGGCAAGAATAACTGCTTTAAAGTCTCCCAGAAAAACAACATTCAGTTCCATGGGAGAGCCATAGACAGCATGGAATGTCTACTCAGAGAAATCATAGTACATTTTAAGTGCAAAATGGAGGTTACAGGATTGATTGATAAAAGAATAAAACAAAGATATGAAAGGGGAGGGGAAAATTATACATCTTCATGTTTCACTCATAAAACCTCACTTCTAATTCAGTATCCAACGCAACATATTCTGTTATTCATCGCCCATAGCTAACTCTAATGCATAGTCATCCCTTTCCTGCAGAAATAATACATTGCAGAAGTAAGATAACTGAAAAGGACAACAGAAGTAATTTGGTGGTAACTCCACTCTCTTTCTTTATCATTTGACTTTATCATTTAGTTTGGTAAAAAGGGTTTCATTCAAAAAAAAAAATTAGGAATATAGACTTACTACAGGTCCTCTGGCAAAATATCTTCCAAATTGAAGCCAATACACCTGAACAAGACAAGAGTTTCACATATCCATGATCCAAATAGTAGAAAAGATATTCAAAAAAATATATATTTCCCTACTATAGGACGTGGTCAAGTACCCAATGAAATAGTATAACACAAGTAGCTTACAACAACCACCTCCAAAGGAGGTAACTTTTTACAACAAAGAAATTTAACAAAAATACACCTAATGACAAAAATACTCGAGTACACAGAAACACAAACCTGTACTTGACCATACCACTCAATAAAATCAAATGAAAAAGTTTCCAATTTCTTAAACTCAATTTTCTGTCCTTTACAAGCAAACAAGCCACATTTTCCCATCAAATATGGGGTTGTTTGGGGTGTCCTAAATAAGTGCACATTTTGTCTTTTTGGACTAAAAAGTTGTGGAAAAAAATATGAATGTTTGGGTTAACTTTGACTTTTTATGAAAAAATATGTATTAAAAAATTGTATAAATAAGTATGTATGAGAAGATAGGGTGACAGCCGTACGGAATGGCAGTGGTGACGGGCTGTTTGAGTAGATGAGAAAATATTGTCTACTTCTCGGGCTTTGATTGGATGGCGTTGTTTGGCCCGTGTGGCCCATCATGGGTCCCCTTTTTCTAATCGGAATCGTTCAATGTGTAAAACTCATCGAGTACTACATGCTTGTAAAAAATCACATTGATTGGATATCGATAACTATCTAATCGTGTTAGTTTTCTTTTCAACTGTTAATTATAATACCATCCAATTTTTATACAAAACTGATTTGATCATATAGTTAGCGATATCCGATAGACATAATTTTTTATAGGCATATAATACTAGACGAGTTCTACATATCGAACGGTTCGGATTATCAAAACGAGACTCATGGTGAGCCCCCACAGGCCCAGCCCAACTTTACCATGCAAATAAGTGAATGTACACATTATTTTTTTGTTTTTGCTTTCCTTGCAGGTGGCTGACGTGTCTGTACGTTGATGGGTTGGTTGGATTGAACTTTTATATTAATTTACCATTTAAATTAATATTTGTATATTATTTTTTTAATAATTTTTTTTGGTGAATAGTGATAACTTTTTAACCATTTTGATAACTTTTTGACTTTTTGAATTTTTCAAGGGTTGCCAAACTTGGCCAATTTTCACCACATCTTTAAACCCCTCGCCCAGCATGTGCACTGGTAACATGCTTCTAATCTGATACGCCATCAAAAAATTTTATCCATCTATTTGGGTGTATGTCAGAGAGATTTGACACCATAATCACCCATGGAAAGCCACCAAAAACAACAGAAACTCTATCTCCCCCTCTCCTCTCTACTCTCTCTTAGATGTTCTTCCAAAACTAACATGTCGTCAATAACTTCTTTTTCTATTTACTAATCAAATTGTGATGAGTGTTAGAGAGTAAAACAACGTATAACTGTATAGAATGTAAAAGCATTTCATCCATCCATTAAAGTAATCCATGGCAGGGCTGCATTGACTCCACGAGAATGTCTCTAGGAGAAATTGCATTTTTTGAGAAAAATTAGCCAGTATTCCGGATATTAACAACAAACTGAAACCACAACATCTCATAGAACCCTAAAATGTAAAAACTAATTCTTCGGGCATGCAATGACTTACTCTCATTTTATTTTCCACATTTTACATTATAACCCACCCCATGCTGTCTAAAATGCAACCAAATGATTTGATTCCTTTTGGAAGTTCAAACATGTTGTTAGGTTTCTAAAAGCATAAATAGTTAGTCATCCACATTACCTCGTCCTCATCTTGTGTTTCAACTTCAATATCGGAGGAGGGGAAGCCCACGCAAAGAAGTGCATACCCCTGCATTGTAGATCAAACAAATGTGAAATTGTAATCAATTTTTAAACTAATAGATATAAAACATAAATTCCTCTATGTAACTTTTTATATTTTCCTTTTTTATTGCTGGAACAAGTAAATTGTTTAATTATAAGATGCAACATGCCAAAAGTAACCCATGTTCCAAACAAATAATGAGCTCCTTTTAGGGTTTTTTCTTTTTCTGAGCCAGGGAGAACTTTGGTAAAAGTTAAAATGAAATTTTCAAACCACTTATGCGAGGGCCATTTCAAATGGTTTGACATGACTTCCTAATTTGTCAAATAATAAACCACCCACAACTAAAAAGGCAGTAGTGTTTATTGCATAGTTTTCTTTTTTGTTTCAGGGGATTTTTATTTTTTTTATTTATTTATTTATTTATTTATTTTTTTTTATGAATCCTCCTTTACTCCTGTAGATTTTATGAGCTTTCTTAATCTCTTATAGTTTTTTTTTTTTTAAGTTACAACCCTTTGGCATCTTATTTATAAAATACTTTATTAATCAAAAAAAAAAAAAAAAAAAAAAAAAGTCCCACAACTTTTAGATAGCTCCAACCTAAGAAGCACGTTCACTTCCAAGAAGGTGCACGTATCAGTGTCCAACACCAACACTCATTGGACACTTCCCGACATGTGTTGGACACATGTATATCTATTGCTAAACACACAAAAAATACATTACAAATTTGAACAAAATAACTTAAAAAAATACAATGATAAAGAAAAATAATATCAATTTATACCTATTAATCCCTCCTCCTTTAAACTTTAGAAATTAGTGTCATGTTAAATTTTTTATCATCTTCGAATGAAATATTTATATATATAACATATAATAAACATATAAAACTATATTTTTATGTGTATCCCCCACGAAGGACGGGCCTAGCGTAGCGGTAAAGCTACCCCTTGGTGACCTGGTGGTCACGGATTCGAGTCACGGAAACAGCCTCTCCATTTGCAGAGTAAGGTTGCGTACATCAACCCTTCCCCAGATCCCATTTAAGCGGAAGCTTCGTGCACTGGGTACGCCCTGTGTGTATTCCCCATATGTCATGTCCTACATTTTTTTTAAAAAAAAAAAATTGACATATCAGCATGCATGTGTCGTATCGCATGTTCGTGTCAAATGCTTCGTAGGCACCAACATAATATGGCAACTTCCAGTGTTGTCCAACTGGAAATGTTCAAGATGCAGTAATTAACATGAATACTTTGGGTTTACACCGTTTTGTTTTCCCGAAGGATCAAAGTATCAATCTTAATCTTCAATTTCAAGCTATGCTATGATTCATGTACACATAAAGATGAACTACAAAGAAAATTCCAAGGATGCAACATGAGAACAAGAGACAAGAATTCAAACACAACCTTTGATTCACAGTATTCTAGTGAAAATACAAGCTCATAAAAAATTATATTTGACAAACCAAGTGAATTTTACATGCCTTAGATTTCAACTCCGCAGATATCCCTAATGCTTCAGGCTGTCTAATTTGCCCAGATTTTATCCGAACAGCACAGCTAGTGCAACAACCTGAAATGTACAAAAAAAATACTTATAATTAGTGCTTAGTTCCTCAGTAAAATAGAAAACAGTGCTAATATATGTAACCAAATTGCAAAATAACGGTCCCCATAGTAGGGAGGGAAAAAAAAAGGTGCATAACTTGGAGCCAAAAGGCTTAAGTATCATAACACAATACACAAACTTAACATGTAAAAAGACAGCAATAAATAACAAAAAAACAAATTGAATTCAAACAAGAAACAAAAAAATGAAGAGTATTGTTATTCAAGCACAAAAATTAGACTCAAAGATGTGGCACTTTATTAAAATATCTACGTCAACTTTCTCGCTCATTTATTCTCTAATCATCAACCAATCATTTTATTTATACATCATTGGACATAGAAAATGGGTCTATAAAATGGAATTGCATATCATTTTCCAAAAATGAATTGTAAGAGATAATCTCAGTAGTAAAGCTTCTATCGCATTAATTCCCAAGCTATAATAGAGTTGGTGCCTAAATTCCTCGCACAATTCCAGTCTCCTAGATCTGCCTAACTAACAGACATTGCAAAAAGGGTAGTGCTACTTCAACCAAAAAATTAGACCCAATTTTCAAAACAATCAATTAGAATATCTAAGCCAACGCTCTCTCCTATCTCTCTAATTATCCACCAATCATCTCTCTTACAGGCAGTATATGTATATAATTTTCCTTGCAAAAATTCTACATAGACTCATTCGTGATAAAGGAAACATTTTTATACAAGTAAACACTCTGAAGAATAAAAATTAGGGAACGGCAAAAGAAAAAGTATCGAAATTTTGAGAATTACAGAACAATACCATGCCTGCAAGCGAAAGGGAGCGATATATTCTGAGACTCAGCAGTATGTAGTATATACTGGTCCTGCACATAAATTGATCATCAACAGAACTCAAAAACAATTACATACATATATACATATATAATTTATATATATGCCCTAGAAATTGACCTCGGGAACGAAGAACTGGTGGACGAGTCCACGTTGTCTGTCGTGAACGGTAACTCTGTGAGTTCGAACGGACGGCGAAGAGTCACCGGCTACCGGCGAATGAAGCTCCGACGACGTCGTTCTACGGCAGAATTTGAGCGAATAATTGAAGTTCGGCGAAGGGAAGAGCCGGTAAAGTGGAGTGGAGATAGTAGATGGAGCTTGGAGATTCATTGAGGCTTTTCTTTTCTGTGTCCGTCTCTACGGAGCTTTTGTTTGTTGGAACAAGATGATAACAACGGAATGAGAATTGTTTTCGTAAATCGGGGCCCATGTTGTTCGGGTCCGGATCTATTTCAGGGTCGGATCATAAGTCGGCTGAATTTTTGGAAACGAAAAATATTTGAGGGCTATAATTTTTGTGACTTAAATGGCTTGAAATTGTCAAAATGACGTTATTTTGGCAATTTCAAAGTTGTTTTGTACTCAAAACGATATCGTTTTGACAATTTCGAGCCATTTAAATCACAAAAATTGTGACCCTCAACCATTGTTGTTCTAGAAATTAGCTTCAACTTTAGAGGGGGGTGCTTGGGAATAGATATTTTGGACTTTTTGAGTTAAAGAAGTATTAAAAGATAAAATAAATTAAAATAATTAATAAGATAAAATATTACATCGAATTTATAATTATTTTACTTTTTTTCTCATAAATATCACATTCAATTATAAAAAACTTGAACCATCTTACCAAACACAGCTATTTTAACCTACTAAAATAATCAAAAATTAAAATAATTTATTAAAATAGCATGGTTCTTCGCCGTCCCTCTATGTAAGATGTTTGGCTCTAGTACTCAGGGTTGTGACTTCTTTTGAAAAATTACACTACGCTCCTGTAGAGTGGATGTGGAGCTTACGGTTATTTTGGTGGGTTCCTTTCTTTCAATTGAGTTAATAAATCTGTCCATCATGTTTCCATGGATTTTTTTCCTTGTTAAAAAAAAAAAAAATTGAAATATTTTAGAAATTGATTTTAATTTTAAATAGGGAAAACTACCAATAAATCCCATAAGTTGATCTTATGATCCATTTGGTCCCAATTTTAATCTAATGTCACGTTTGGTCCTGTGTTGCGTGAAAGGACATATTTGCCACAGTGTTTAATGTTTCCGTTGTTGGCGCGTGGGACAACGCGGTTTGCAAAGTGTAGGAAGATGATTGAGTTGTGTCACGTGACACATAATAGCGTGTCACAGATTGGCAAAGCGTACTAAGGGGTTTTATAATGGTAATAGAGTTTTTGGTAGTGACATATGTCACACATTCGGGTTTGCCCACATAACCGAACTATAACCCGTTTTACAACTCATTTCATACATCCACATCCCCACATGTATAAAATGCTAACCCGTTTCGTATTTCCCACAATGAAGAAACCCTAATATAGTGATTTCGTGTATTCGGTAGATTTCGATTGACAGTATATTCCGTTGCGTGATTCGGGAGAGGGAGGAGCGATACTGAAGCTTGGTTGCAGCGTTACGTTGATTTAAGATTTGTGTGACATTGTCGGGCGTTCAACGTTTCGGAACCCTATTCTCAGTTTTTTGTGTTCGTTGGGTTGTCAGACGTCTGCAATGGCCAAACAAGGTATGTCACCTAACATTGGTTTTGAAATATTTGTGTGGGGTAATGTCTTATTTTGGTATTTGGTGTTTTTGTTCAGATTACCGGTGTGGTCGGTCGTGGTTCTGTTCAATCGAGCAGTTTTTTTGGGTGTGTGTTTTGTTTTAGGGGGTATTTGCGATGTGGATGTTGGGCGTGTGGTTTTGGGTGTGTGCTGGGATAGTATGGTTGTGTGTTTTGTTTTTATGCGTAGTTGGTTTGTGGGTTGTGTTTGTGGTGATGTGTGTTTTTGGATGGTTGTATGACTGACAGTTGTGGTCAATGTAGTGGTATATATTATTTAACAATAGTTGGAACCACAGGAAAATGTATACTTTTTTAATGATTTGTCCTGCATATGTAGAGGTGGGATCCCCACTTTTTTTTGGTGCTGCAAAAAGTAAATGGGATATGTTGTGGTTCTGGTACGCAGGTGTGGATTGTGTGAATTTGTGCATTTTATTTCTGGTTTTGGAATTAGGTTTGGGTAGTTGGTTGGTTTTGTGTTTTTTTGTTATTGTGTGGATGTGGGTTTGTGTGTTGGTAAACTGGACAATATTTGAATGTGGTACATGGGTGAGTTGGTATTTGGTTTTGTGAGTTGGTATGTTGTTGAGTCTGAATGGTTCGCGTTTCGTAAGTCACATAAAATAGAGGGTGTTATGTATTTTGTGTGGGTTTTTTTTCTACAATGACTTTTGTACGTGGTTGTGTGGCATGTATGTGATTTGAAATGCATGGTAAATGTGTTTGTGGTTTTGTCTTGCAGATGGCGATAGGGTAAGGAGTCCGTGGACACGTTCATGTGAACATAAACGTGTTGAGGGGCAAACTGGGTCAAATGCAAACAACCTTGGAGTGAAAATACAGGAGCGAATCCTATTCAAGCAAGCTAAAATAAGAAAAGGTGAAGATGCGCGGTCTGTGGGTAAGCTTGTAACGGGGTGCCAGCCTAAACACAACACGAGGATGAACTTCCGTTCAAACATTGCAGGGATAGTGAAGCTTGTGAGTTTGGAAAACCTGCAGGAGGGACACTTGAATCAGTTGAGAAGAACACCATTCTGGGTTATGATAGAGGCGATACACGTCAACAAGTTGATCCATACCGAATTCCGAAAGTGTGATGAGTTAATATGCTAAATTATAAAGGCATACAATGAGCGGGAGAATGCATTCAGCATTGGAGGTTCAATAGTGAAACTTGGTAGCAGTGACATTAGGTTAATCTTCGGATTACAATGTGGAAAGAGGCGCATGGACTTGTCACCTGGACAAAGACCAACATCGGACTTCATTCAACGTAGGTGTTCTGAAACTTCACGCATAACATCGAAACTAGTGAAGATGTTATTTTTAGAGGCTGTTAGTGGTCATAGCAAACAAGATGAGGAAGACGCTGCGAAATTATTAGCGATGTACATTTGTGGGAAGCTTTTTTTTGCCAACTCTGGGGAGACAATAAGTTGGACATTTGTTTGGTACTTGAACAATCTGAATACCGTACGGATGTATGACTGGACAGGCGCAATCTTGTCAACGTTGATGGGTTCAGTCAAGGATTTTCATAAAACGCCGGGGAAGGTAACCGGCTGCGTGGTTGCGTTGCTGGTAAGTGTGTGACTGAATGTTTTGTGGTTATTGTCTTGTATGTGTGGTTGGGTTTATTTGCACGTTTAATTGGATTATTGAATTTTGTGATGTGTGTGTCGCAGTATTGGTTGTGTGAACATTCTACAATAGTGGAGCCTGACATCGAAAACATGTTTCCAAGGTTCCTTAAACGGGGCATTGGAACACTGCTGAATAAAGCGCAAGGGGTAGAATTTGTTGGTGCTGTAACGTTCCAGGTATGCACGACGTTGGTTCCCAATATGGTTGTTGTGGAACTTTGTCAGTTGTAGTCTGATAATGACCTTTGTAATTTTAAAATGTCATTGTGTTTGTCTGTGTGAACAGGTGAAGACTGATCGTCTGAGGTCTCTTGAGTATGAACGGGAAATGATGGGATTGGATGTCGAAGCAGTTGACAGAGATGTGGCCGACGTTGTTGACATTGGCGCAAACAATATTGGCAGTGAAGATGATTTTGTTGACAGAGTTAATGTAATGAAAGAGACAGTTGATGTTGGAATGCAGGGTGGGAGTGTTGAGGCACGTGGGAAAAATAAAATTGGCAAGAGTCATGCGGGTAATGTGCGTGATCATTCAGTGGGTGTGTTCGGCGCTGGGCTGGATGTACAGCGTGAATTGATTAGTGCATATGAAAATTACACGCAGGTAGATTCTAAACTAGAAGAAGCGTTAACTGCAATCACAACACTTCAGCTGCAGAACAAAAACAAGGACAATATGATATCACTCTTTGAAGAAGAGATTACTAAGTTGAAGAGTAAGAGCGACTTGCAGGCTGTGAACATAGTTGGCGGTTTTGGGTGTGTTTTGAAGATGAAAGATGAGGAGCTTGAAAAGTTGAGGAAGGAGAATGGAGAAATGCAGAAAAAAATTTCATTACTGGGAGACCAACTGGAGGACCGTGACGTGCATGTTGTCACGCAAGTATTCCGTGATGCTAGAGATAAGCAAGTTGCTGGTGGAAGTAGCACGGGGTGCAGTGGATATGGTGGGTCGTTTTTGTGTGATGTGTCACCGTTATGAGCAGTCAATGATTGTGCATGGAAGGCAGGCAATGAACCGAATGAGGTGGAGGTGCATGATCCAATGGATGTCCAGCAGTGTGATGCGGAAGTAGAAGTGTTGCCATATGTGGGTGAAGGAGTACCGCGGTTGGGCGGGCTAAATTCGTTAGTACGTAACATTAAAGGCAAAGTGAGAAATGAGCGGAAGTTGGCAGACTATGAGTACCCGTTGTTAGGGGTTCGTGATAGAAGGATGGGATCAAAAAGTGATAATGTTGGGGGAGAGAAGAACTGTGTGAGTGGTAATGCCGTTATAGACGTGGATGTAGTTGAGGTAGCAGGGAAAAAATGGTCGGGATTTGATATCAACAGCAGGTTAGGGGTGTAGAAGATGATGACATTTGAAGAGAAGACGAAGATCAAACAAGCGTATGATCGTAACGGCGACGGGTAAGGTTTTTTTTATTGTTTCTCTTTTGTTATTTCTGTTGCTGTGTGTGCATCACCCTTTTGTATGGATTTTAAAAACATATTGTTTGTAGGGCTATTGTGTGGGCAGACGGTTTTACCGGCGTGACAGTAGACTTTACAAATTTGAAGGGACTGGTTAGACAAAGTAATGTACGGAGCAATGTACGTTCAATTTTATCTTTAATGATTTATACTTAGTGTTTTTTAGTTGTAGAGTATGAATGTAGCAAATGGTGGCAGCATGCGATGTGGTGGTGTTTTTGTTTTTTTTATTTTCTTGAGGCGCAGTTGTTTTGTGCAACGCAGGTGATTGATGCATATACAGAGCTGTTGAAAACTGATCAGCTGAAGGTGTTTGGAAATGATGATCAGGCAGACAAATCATATTTTTTCAGTAGTGTTTGCCTGGTGAGTTGTTGTGGGTGGGTGGTAAGTGATTATGTTGTGGTTATTTATAACGTGGTGTGGTTATTGTATGTGTGCAGGATATGGTGAAAAGCGCAGATGTGGGAGGCTTTG